ACAGTGCAGATTGTAGTAACTTATGAATAGTAATGGTATGCTAGTCAGGTCACATGTTTTAGCCTTGAGGAAAATTGTGTGATAATAGGAAGGGTAGAATTTATCATCCTACATAGCATTTTTGATGGCAAATGAATTTGATATTCTTTATGAAAATATTTTAGATCTGAATGAATGAAGATTTTTGTTTTCACAAAATTTTAATTTCTTATAATGGTTCAAATCACAGTCAGAAAGCAATAGGACCCATGCTAATGATTGTAGACAGAATAGCCACCTGACTGTGGGTTGCATTTATTACATAATGGACAGGGTTGTTAGGCATAATTAAAATGTTAATGTCTTTTGTTACTTATCATTAAAGTTAAAGATAGAAATGTAGGGATTATTTTAGTAAAAGAATTTAAGGATAAGTACTTTATTATTTCAGAACTTTAAGCTGCATGGCAAGTTGCCTTTTTGTATTGGTGAAACATTAGATATATAATTATGGTTACTCCAAGATGTCATTAAATGTAATTGGATATCCTGCATTTATCAGGCTTTTCCAAAACAGAAGGTTAAATTGCCACTCAAGACCCCTCTTCTAAATGATTGAAATCTATCCTTATGCATTAACCTAATATCTTTATGTAAATAGTATACACCTAATCTGGCTAAAACCTTCCAATTTCTATCTCATACATTCCAGTTGAGTGGTTGCAGTTTGAGTTGGTCATGTTTTGGGAAACATTTCCAGTTGACCAGTATGAGCTATGTTCTCTATCTATTTTCCTTCCTTTGTCAGTGATTTAGACTCTTCCTACTTTCCCATCTTTTCTAGAAATGGGGTAAAATTTAGCTTATTCTTCTATTTAACAACAATGCCAAGTATTTTTCATTTGATAAAAGCTCTGACTCGGATATAATGAGAGCCAGAAGGAGGAGATATGGATCAAGTGTTTAATAGTCCAATCCTAGGGTATATCAAACTGCTGTTCCATATCTTCTCCCTTGGGCAGTCTATATCTTCGATATAAACCTTTTCATAAGTTACTGTTGTATGTTTCCAGGTACAGCTATGCAAGTCAAAATGCATGCATTTGTTGCCTTTCACTCATTGGTGTAGAAACATCAACTACTGCTTTGGGAAAATGACTGGAGATATTAAACTTGGTCAGATTCCTGACCTAAATCTTATTTGTGTTAAGTCGCGTAACAGATCATTGACAACGCTTATAGGTTGAGGAAACAAATTTGTGTGCTATGAGAGAGCACATAAACGATTAAGGATATTTTAGGTGCAAAATGTTGAAGAAATCATTTTGGTAACATTGAAAAGAATAGTTATAGTGTTTCATTAGTAAACATAGGTGCGGAAGAAAATGATATTTTGCAAAAATTGCTTAACAGTACAGCCTAAACCTGTACTGAACATTCAACTATAACAATATATATATATGATATTAGTTTTGTTTACATTAAAAAAAAAGTAACAGACTGATAAGTATTGTTTTGCAAAATGGAGAATCTCTTCCCTTTATAGCTTTAGTTTGTATTGTATTTGTATAATGTAAGTCATCACATCAAAACTTGAAAAGAAACTCAACAGTTTTTTATACGACCGCAAAAAATTTTGCAGTCGTATATTGGTATCACGTCGTCATCGTCATCAGCGTCCTCCGAAGACATTTGGTTTCCGGACTATAACTTTAGTAAATGTAAATAGAAATCTATGAAATTTAAACACAAGGTTTATAACAACAAAAGGAAGGTTGGGATTGATTTTGGGGGTTATAGTCTTAACAGTTTAGGGGCCAAAAAGGGGCCCAAATAAGCATTTTTCTAGTTTTCAGACAATAACTTGTGGAACGGTGTATGGATCTCTCTGAAATTATACCACAAGTTTCCATACCACAAAGGAATGGTTAGGATTGGCTTTGGGGGGTTATGGCTCAAACCGTTTAGGAATTAGGGGCAAAAAAGTGAGAAAATACAAGGGTGTCCTGGTTAATGGACAATTCAAAAAAAGTACAATGTTATGTTTGGATTACCTCCCTTACACTGCTTTTAAATTATGTATAAAGAAATGTTGTACTGTCTTGAGGTGGTTAGCTGTCAATTTATTTTTAGAAGTTACTATTTAAAAATGCTGATTAAGGATTATTAATTATAGCCATGATTATGTATGTCATTTTCTATTTTAAGACTTTTATGATGTATTTAAATGGGTAATTACGGTTGCAAACTCCATTGGAGATTTGAATTGAGATCATGACCATATCTTGAGGAAAAGCATTTTTTTTTGGGGAAAAAGGGGGGGAGGTGAAAAAAAAAATTAGGGGGGGGGGGGGGTAAAATTTCAGAAATTAAAAAGAAAATTTCTTCAAATATTTTCAAATTTCAGAAATTAAAAAGAAAATTTCTTCAAATATTTTTTTTTTGCAAAAAAAAAGGAGGGGAGGGGGGGAGGGGGTAAATTTTTTTTTTTTTTTTTTTTTTTTTTTTAGATGGGGGGGTCAATTCGCAGCAGCATAGTGTATTGCACAAAAGCAAAAAATTGGATATAAATTCAAATCATATAACCAATTCTAAACAACAAAACATTTTGACTACAGTTATTCTGTGTCAGAAACCTATTATGTGTCAAATATTTAATTACAGTCCAAATTCAGACCTGTATCAAGCGCAAATACTGTGTCCATTTTTGCCCCAACTGTTCAGGGTTGGACCTCTGTGGTCATATCCAGCTGTGCTCTGCGAAGCAATTTATTTTCAATTTAAAACATCTTTGATACATATGTTTAGAAGATATATTTTATTACAGAATGTCACAATTTTTATTTGTACATGTATTTAAGAAATAAATATTTTTAATTGATATGACTAAAATGATGTCATAATCTGTACTTGAGATCATGTTTTGAAGGTTTATAAGGTCACAATAAATACATGTACATGTATTGAAAGTTTAAGGGTAATGTATTTGTACTGCTGTCTTCATTGAAGATATTTTTGTACTATGTAGAAACTGTCCATGTCATTAAGCTGTCAGCTGCTACGAAACACAATTTCACATAATGATTGCTGAGGACACAAGGGTCTCTTCAAACATAACTATAGGTTTTGTCAGGTACTAATTGGAGAGTTGTAATTGTGATGTTATTGATATTGATCCATGTTGAAACTATTTTCTAGAATCGCCATGTTAAAGTTATGTAAACAAATAATGCATTTAAACAGCAGGAATCAGTCCTTTAAAGTACTCATATTTAAACAGCTTTCAAGCTTAAAGATATTATGTTATTTATATTCTTCCTGTTTTTCAAAACACCTCAATAATCAATATATGTTCCCCACAAAGAAATTCTAAATATCTCTTTAATAGTTAAATACTGGTAGTTTTTTTCTAACCAAATCTAATGTTATTAAAACTGCATATTTACAAAGCACCTGTATGATATTGAATATAGAAAAGTTTGATAATAAATGTTGTAATATTGTATGAATCACTAGTCTTAAATAAAATCTACAAAAACAGAAAATTTATGGGTAGAAAAAGCTTAGTAATAGTGTCATAATAACTGTTCATTTATAGATTATTTAACGGCTGAATTACCACTTACACAATTACACATGTATACTTTATTGTGTTATTATAAAGGAATATTTACACAGAAGTGTATTGAATAGATGTTACTTCAAACCCATTACAAAGGATAGTTTATAGATCATATATGGACTTTCACTTTTATCCTGATCACTCTTTCATATGCAATTAAAGAACTGTCTCAACTGATACAATGTATCCTATATCATTATCCTACGCCAAAGTACATGATGATAAGTTTACATGCCAGATTGAAATCCTAAATGATGGATTAGTATATAAATATTGGAATTTCAATCATTATGTTTACAATGCCTTCTTGTTCATCTTAGCTATTTATTTATCATTGTTTAGATTCCCATCTTGCACAGTTTATCTTGATATATAGGATGATATACTCTCCCTTTGACTGTAACATTTTGAGCTAACTGGTTTCAAATTATCCCTGCCATTTAATATGCCAGACACAAAAGGGCCATTTACACAACTAGTTTGAACATGCATGTTTAGACATTCATTTCTAAACTTGCTGTGTATTATAAAATCCTTCCAAGTCTTAGACCTTGAAAGCATGTGTGTTTGACATAATGAAATAGAATTTCCTCTATTCCCGACATGGCAAATACACCAATCACAATGAAGGTCACAGTGTCATGCTTAAAAAACACAACCTCATCAACATACACATGCTTTTTTGAAGATGGTGAGAATTTTAATGCAAAGAAAAAATAGAAGTTGTACTGAAGTAAAATACAAAAACAAATACTATGTAAGCTATATCAACCTTCCCCGTTTTAGCTCATCTGGCCCTCATTGGCAATCATACCAAATCTTCCTTAACATATTCACATTATTTAACCTTAGGATGTCTGGGTTAAAGTTTGTGAATAATATTGTGGTAGATCAACCAATAGACCACCATGGCCAAATTATAAGAATAAAATGCAAACATACCTTAAAAAACAGCAATAAAAACATTGTAAGATCTACCTACTCTACATTTCTACACATGTACCAAAATTTTCAGCTAACTCCTTTTAGGATTTATTGCCCTTAGTTGACATGTTTTTACAAATTTTAGCATTCTCATCCATTGGAACTTATAAACTATAAAAGATATATGTATATAGATAGAAACCATAGAAACCATACAAACGATAAGGGTTAGAAAAACAATATCTACTAAAATGTTTATATGATAGAAACCTTCAACTGGCTCTTTATAAGAGTTATTGCCATTGAAAATTTATTTTTGACCACTTTCAGTATTTAGCATAATAATCTTTTTTTTTGTTTGCTAAATTTTTTAATTTATATTATTCAGTTCTAATTACTTCTATAGACATGATAGATATTATACATGTTCACAAATTTTTTTTATCCAGGTCCTATTTTTATTCTTTTTTTTCAGCTTCAAGACTTGGTAGAAGGCCAAAGAGAATGAAAGATCCAGGAAGTCGTGACTCGAAGCCAACTACAAATTTACCGATTGCTCCATATCCCTCCTCTCAAGACTTAAATAAGCTACGCATGGCTGAACTGCAGGGAATTTTACAACAGAGTGGCTCACTTAAGCCAGAGATGATGGAAGCTTTCTTGAGTGCGGCACAAGTAAGCTTCAGAGAGCATCAGAGAAATCACAATAACCAAAACAATACAAGTAATGGTACAATTAAGGTACCAGGACAAAGACAAGGAAACGATTCTGGTTATTCCAGTTTGAGTAGTCCGTCAAGTAATAAAAGTTCATCACCTCCTCAGGATAATCAACACCAATTAATTGATGGTGAAAATATCATGGAAGATAGTAAAACGTCGTTGAATATAGACCCACTTATAATGGGCATGCGCATTCCTCATTCTGCTAGTTATTCTCCCGTGGAAATAAAGGCAGAGCCAACAGATGAAATACGGTCATGTTCTAAATCAGGATCCCATAACCCGGTCATGGACTTTTGCCCTCAAGATTTAGATGTTGATGTTTTTAATCAAAATAGTTTGCCTGATATACAGGAATCAAGATTTGAAAATGATTATGATGACCGATTTAGTCCAGAACAGCATATTATCAGTGAGCATCCGATTATGTATACAGAACAAAGAGATGAAGGAATGGCCATTCCTACGCATGTAGAGGAAATGTATGATGACAATACATTCTCAATAGATATAGACAAAATCATGGCAGAGGTGGTCAAGAGGCCATCCGATATTCGAAAAAACCTACTCGATCAAGTTACAGAGGAAGTGGTCAATGCACACTTTAAAACATGTAAACCAACATACCAAAATGTACGAGAGGCCAACATGAGACTAGAAAAGTTGAAGGCTCAGAACATGCTGGTGAGTTGTATGCTAGTGCTGTTTAACTAATGATTGTACAAGAAGGGTTCTAGAATTTCTGAGTTTTGACCTATTGCTTAGTTCCATTGAAAGATATCATTTAGACTTACAAATGTAGTTTAAATATAATGAAATTGATTGAGAAGATTACTCCAGAAGTGGATACCTAGCAGTCTCTGTCTGTCCAAAACACATTAGTACTTAGTCAGAGACTGTTTGACAGACTTAGTAGGATTATTTGTCATCACATCCTTGTGATGGTACTAGACTGTTAGTTTGATGTGACCATCTTACAGCAGTTAAAGAACTTTGAAAACAACTTTAAGACAAAAGAGATGATTTCAGCTTCCCAATTGTGAACTTTCCATTTCTATGTGGCAACATTCCAGCAGCGCCTGCATATAGAGTATATATCTCCCAGTTGATACAATATTCCAGGGCTTGTGTGTCCTATCATTATTTCCTTGATAGAGAGTTGTTGCTCACAAAGAAGCTATTAAACCAAGAGTTCCAAGTGGTGAAGTTGAAATCATCCCTTCGTAAATTTTAAAGACGCCATCACGAGTTGGATGACCGCTATGGAATATCTGTTTCACAGGTGACGACGAATATGTTCCAATTGTCGTAACTATAATCTCATCCTCTTCCCCCGAAAGTGACCTACGGAAATTAGACATATCACCGGGTTTGTACTTACATGAGCAACATGACTGGTGCCACATGTGGAGCATTATCTGTTTACCCTTCTGGAGCACCTGAGACCACCCCCAGTTTTTGGTGGGGTTCCTGTTGCTCAGTCTTTGGTTTTCTATGTTGTTTTGGGTACTGTTGTTTGTCTTTTTCTTTTTTAGCCATGTTGTTGTCAGTTTATTTTCGACTTATGTCTCTTCGGTATCATTCACCTCTCTTCGACCATATTTTAACTATTGTACCATAATCACACCTTGTGAACAAAACTCCTCTTAGACTATTTGAAGCAAAATCTCTAATACCCAATAGAATTGTTTGTTATTGACCATATTGTACCACCATGTTGTTTAGGCAATTTTTGCAAGAGTTATGGGACTTTGACCATTTTTTTTAGTATTGTTACAATAACACCTTGCAATTGTGAGACCATTTGACTGAAGCTAACATACTTGGTAGAATTGTAATTGACCATGTTGTAGGATCATTATGACGACCATAATGACACCTTGTTCGGCCTTTTAACAACATCAAATTAAAAAACTCGGAATACATTATATTATAAGTTCTATGAATTTGTAGGGGTCAGTAGTGAACTATATAACAAATTAATCACACACAGGACATTTCTTGTCATGGTTTGTATGAAAATAAATAATGAAATACAATAACACTAATAGATGACGTCATGCATGATAACCCTATAAAATTTACTGACCCCTATGCATCCATAGGGGATTACCACGTGACATCATTAAACCAATCACCACATCACTAATTTACTGGAGGTGCGATAAAATTTAATCTATGTTCCTATTGTACAACTTGATACTATACACACACTTTTATTCCTCCTTTTACACAGGTGCAAGGGACTTTACACTATGGTGTACGTATACCAATCTTGTTTGTTTTGATATGTTGTGGTGTTGTCCCATTGATGTAAATCGATGCACATCCATAAAAAAAATAATTCTGATCTGAATGTAACCTATATCACTGACATGACTGAGTGTTTAAGAATGGTAGTCTACAAGGGACATATTCTGCCATTTGTATTCTGTTGTCAGTCGTTAATTTTTTCAAGGAAATTCTCCTCTTAAACTACTGAACCAATTCAAACTAAACTCCACATGTTTGATACTTTAGGGTGTCTTTATTAGAGTTTCTCTGAATTATGTCAGTCCATCAAACAACATCATTAAAATGGCTGATATATACGTCTAAATCTAAAACATTATTGTCATTTTGCTTAGTTTCTTCTGTTACTTATTCTAACATCAAACTCTGACTTCTTTTGAACTGAATTTTACTGTGTGTATTGCTGTGTAATTTGTAATTATTTATTTATCATTGGCTAGAGTTATAGGGGGAGAGTCGAGATCTCTCAAAAAAGGTTTAACCCCGCTACATTTTTGCACCTGTCTCAAGTCAGAAACCTCTTTCCTTTGTTAGTCCTGTATGTTTTTTAAATTTTGGTTCATTTATATATGTTTCTGAGTTTTGTGTGACGTTCATTTTCGCTGAACTAGTATACATTATTGTTTAGGGGCCAGCTGAAGCCAGCCTCTGGGTGTAAAATTTTCTCGCTGTGTTGAAGACCCATTGGTGGCCTTGGGCTGTTTTGTGCTCTTTGGCAGAGTTGTTGTCTCTTTGACACATTCCCCGTTTCCATTCCCAATTTTATAGTGGTAAAATGTAATCATTGGATATTTTGAAAAGTTAAATCAATATAGAAAATTTTAATAGGTCTATCAAATAAGAATTGAAAATAAGTCTTACATCTGGAAGCTTTTTTGGTAGGTTTGCAGAACTGTATTGCAGAATGGCGATGTTTTGGTAGTTTTTTGGGCAAGGGAAAGTAGGTACATGGACCTATTGTATGTAATCAACTTCTTCTACAGTTTTCAACCAACATTCTTGTAATTTCACAGAAATATTATACACATATATGATTATAGAAATTGTGCCCCTGTTATAATGGTTTATGATCAAGAGCATTTTTTTCCCTTTTTTCTATAATTTTTTTAACTTAATCATTTTTCAAAATTTACAAAAAAAGACTCAGACAAAATGTCATGATAGGATATAAGACACAATTGGTAAATTTACAAATCCAAAGACTATTCAGGTATCTTAGGACCTATTGAGACCGTGAAAATATGTTTCCTGTGATTTGAGACACAGACACATTAATTGGTCAACAGTAAAATTTTTGTAGTCCCTGTTCCAACACTATCACAGTTACTGGTGTAACAAATGATTGACAAAACCATGATTAAGTTACTTACAAGTGGACCTATCTTAAAATTTTATTTAAAATAGGCATTCTTGGTTGTGCTTTTAAATCTTTATTTTTAGCTCACCTGGTCGGAAGGGCCATGTTAGCTTTTCCCATCACTTAGCTTGGCGTCCATCATCGTTGTCTTCGTCCTTTAACTTTTACAAAGATCTCCTCTGAAACTACTGAGCCAAATTTAACCAAACTTGGCCACAATCATCATTGGGGTATCTAAAAAATGTGTCTGAATTCTTCAGTCATCTGGTTATTGAAGTTATTGCACTTTAATGACGATTTTTACCAATTTTTGGTGTTTTTGCCTATTATCTTGAAAACTATAAAAGATAGATAGAAACTTTAATTAACAAAAATGGTCAGCAAGACAAGATCTACAACCAGGTCAAATTCTGACAAAAAAAGTTAGTAGATAGGGGTGATTGCCCTTAAATGATGATTTTGTTTTACCCTCTTTTGTGTTTTGGGCTAAAAACAAAATAAGATAGAGAGAAACTGTTATAAACAGTAGTCTACAATGTTGAAGATGCACATAGACCAAGGTGAGGGACACAGCCTCTAGTTTAAATGCAACCAAAAGTTGTATCTCTGTTGTATTTTGAATGTTTAGTTTAAATTTCAATGTTTAAAAATTGCTTGTAATCATAAAATTGGTTTAAAGATTGAAATTCTTAAGCTTTTTTCATCGTTCTACACAAATAATAGCCAAGAGTGTTAATAATCCATTAGAAATTGAAAATATTATATGATACATGATTAGTTTTCTATTGATTGCAGCTTGATAAAGTATTGTTACAAACAGAGAAATGTAATCAGTCTTTTGTTGAATGTAAAATATTTTTCATTTCCTATTGCCTTGAACAATGTTGAATGCACTAAGTGAAATGATAAAAAGATTATTTTCACTTTGGATTATTTATACCTTTACAACCTTGAAGATAAATGGCCTTCATGTCAGTCATGTTTATTTCTATAAATGAACATTTTCTATCCTTATCAAATAACCTTCACCTTTTCAGTATGCTATTGTTTATTTGACACCTGAAAAATCCTTCATAAACATATTTTGGGGCCTGTTTCATGTGAGGACAAGAGGTTTTAAATACAATAAGTTCCTTTGCTTTTGTTCTTTTATGTACTTCTGTTTGAAAATTAAATTTATTTTTATCGTGTTTATAATCATGATAATTGAATCTATTTGTCAGATCATGTTTATAATCATGATAATTGATGACATTGTTATTTTGCAAATGGATGAAAATTCGTAGGAATGGGACTGAGTTTTGTAGAAACTTCTCAGGAAGAAATCTAGTTTTGAAGAAATTTCTCAGGAAAGGAACTCATTGGTTTATTTTAAGAATGTTCTATGAAAAATTGAACACTTTCCAAACAGTTTGTGTTGTATTATTTCATTTCCCCATAATTTATAGCCCATAAAAAATGCTTATGAGTTTCATACAATATTAATTACCTCAAATATTGACTTTTTCCATGTTCATAATCGTTAGAAAAATGTTTCTATCATAAAAAAAACCTCAGTTTTACCACATCTATTAAATCATAGGTTGTAATTACAAGCTTATCTATATGACTTAGTACAAGAGGGTTACTGCTCTGAATACTTGGAGGTTTATATGCACTGTCTCTAAGATCAATTATGTTATGTGAACAGCTAACGAGCTTAAAAAAAAAGTGCGAAAAACTGATTATTTTAGTGAATTTTCTAAGTCAAAGGACCATAACTCTGCACAGGTTTCGCAAAAGATTTAAGATGTGCACCTCTACTTTAAGACAGATTTGAATTATTTTTTAAAGGTTTCCCCATCTACTTGTATATCATCAACTCCAGCAAATCACAAAAATCAGGCCAATTAGTTTTCTGTTTTAATGATTTCACATTTTGTCATGTGAATTCCTTATTAGTCCCCTACCGACGAAGTCGAAGGGGACTTTAAGTTTGCACTCCGTCCGTCCGTCTGTTTGCACTCTGTTTGTCTGTCTGTCCATCCGTCAGTCGGGCAAATCAGTTTTCCACACTTTTTTTCTTCATGCTTAAAGATATTGATTTGATATTTGGTGTATTGTTTGATCATGACAAGTTACAGATCAAGTTTGAATTTCGTTCCGGTCTGATGATTTTGTGCAGAGTTATGGTCCTTTGACTTAGAAAATTCACTAAAATAATCAGTTTTTCGCACTTTTTTTTTAAATGCACTAAAATAATCAGTTTTTCGCACTTTTTTAGTCATTCTTGAAGATATTGATTTGATAATTGGTATATAGTTTTATCATGACAAGTTACAGTTCAAGTTTGAATTTTGTTCCGGTCTGATGATTTTGTGCAGAGTAATGGTCCTTTGACTTAGAAAATTCACTCAAATAATCAGTTTTCTGCACTTTATTTTCGTCATGCTTGAAGGTATTGATTTGAAAAATGGTATATAGTTTTATAATGACAAGTTACAGATCAAGTTGAAATTTTGTTCCGCTCTGATGATTTTGTGCAGAGATAGGTCCTTGGACTTAGAAATTCACTTAAATAATCAGTTTTCAACACTTTTTTTCGTCATGCTTGAAGATATTGACTTGATATTTGTTATATAGTTTACACCATGACAAGTTATAGATCAAGTTAGAATTTTGTTCCAATACAATGAATTTTTAACCGGTAGGGGACTATGAATTGCCATGCAATACTCACAGAATGCTTGTTTAGCTTGATATGTGGTATATGTTTTGCTCATTGTTGAGGGTCATACATGTACAATGACCTATAGTTGTTGATATCTGTCTTATAATTTGGTCTCAGGTGGATATTCTCTCATTGACAATCTTAACACTTCTGCTTATTTTTATACGACCACAAAAAAATTGTAAAAACAGTTAAGGAATTAGGGGCCAAAAATAAGCATTTTTGTAACTTCCAGATATAACTTGTGTGTTAGTGTACGGATCTCTCTGACATTGTACCGCAAGGTTCCATATCACAAAGGGAATGCTTGGATTGATTTTGGGGGTAATTTTAGGAATTAGGGGCTAAAAAAGGGGCAAAAAACAAGCATTTTTCTAGTTTCAGGACAATAACTTGTGTGTAAGTGAATGGATCTTTATGAAATTGTACTACAAGGTTCCATATCACATAGGGAAAGCTGGCTTTGAGTTTGGGGGTAATTGCCCTAAATGTTTAGGAATATGGGGCCAAAAAACAAGCATTTTTCTAGTTTCCAGACAATAAATAACTTGTGTTCAAGTGTATGGATCTCTATGAAATTGTACTGCAAGGTACCATACCACAAAGGGAAGGCTGGGATTGAGTTTGGGGGTGATGAATCATAAGGGGTTTAAAAAAATTGGGGCGGGGGGGGGAGGGATTTTTTTTTCCTTGTTTTTTCTTTAAAATTTTCCATTTTAAATTGGTTATTTCTGATTTATATATAAAAGCAAATAATAATGATGTGGTTTGAATAGGTAAATTAAAAAAAATCAAGTTCTTAGACCACATTCATTCTGTGTTAGAAACCTATGCTGTGTCAAATATTTAATCACAATCCAAATTCAGTGCTGTATCAAGCTTGAATGTTGTGTCCATACTTGCCCCAACTGTTCAGGGTTCGACCTCTGCAGTCGTATCAAGCTGCTCCCAGCGGAGCATTTTATTATATTGATAAAGATCTACTCATGATCTTGAACAATTCACAGGCTACTTAATTTCAATATGTCAATGAACATGATGAATGTCAGTCTCTAAATGGCTACGAATTGAAAAAAGTTGTGAATGAACTTAAAATCTTAATTCAAGACAATTATTAACAAGGTTCCTGACTTTTATCAACATGTGGCTGGGTTAACTTAAGTAAGCTCACCTGCATTTGTTGACATTGGCAAATAAAATGGTTTTGGTCCGATAAAAGTTGTTGCTCAACTGGACCAAATGTCCAGTAAATATTCAGAATTTTTTATATGAAAAAAAAATTAAAAAAAATGGACCAATAAAAATGGTCTTTGGTTCAGTGAAGTGTCCACATTAACTGGACCGATTGGTATGGTTTTAATTACCTTGGGAAACACTTAACACCTGGCCCATGTAAGCTATTGCCATCACTTGCCATCCATTGTCCTTGTCTGTCATCATCAATTTATAAACTTGATATTGAAAAATATTCTCCTGAATTGTTTGGACCAATTGAAAGCAATCTTGGGCTGAAATACCAATCAGATATCTTGTGTAAAGTTTTGTCAATCAACCAACATGGTCACCATAGTTAGAAATAGCTACCTCCCATTTCCTCCTAAATTATTAGAAGACTTCTTATAGGATTTATTGCCCTTCAATGATGATTTTGACTAGTTTTCAAGTTTTTGCCTGTTATCTTAAAAGCTTGTTAATAGATATATATACAGGAGATGTAAACTGAAAATGATCAGCAATACAAGATCTACAAAACTGCAAATATGATTGGAGGGAGCTATCAGACCACTTATTCTAGGAGTTATTGTCCTTTGATGAAGATTTTTGACAAAATTCAGCTTTTTTGCATATTTTCTTGAAAACTCTTATATAAATTTTGTTTCTCCTCAAAACTACATCTGAGTAATTTGGTTGTTCTTCATTCATTGCAGCCTGACTTCAGTAAAATGAAGATTGACCCATCAAAGATGTGGGAACAGTTTGTACAGAACATGGTACCAGAAATAACTATGGTTGTCAAGTTTTGTAAGAAGATACCAGGTAAGTAACCATGGTAATATTTATATCAAAACAATGTGTTAAGTTGGTAAGGTAATTATTTTTTAAATGTTGTTTCATAAATATAGTTATGTAAGTGGGGTGGTTTGGATGGTCATGGGCATTTTTTTTTCCATGGAGTATCTGAGTAAATAATGTAGTCAAGAGTAGAAATAAAACTTTTATAATGTGGTCAGGGGTAGCTTAAAGAACTGTTATATTGTGGTTAGACTATGATAATTTTACATGTGTAATCATGGTTCATAAATCTTCTGATAAGACTATAACATTATATATTACTATTGGCTGGGCACATGTGACGGGTGTGTCAGCTGTGTAACTTTTATCATGTTTATTATATTGTCAGGGGAAGTTTAAGAGTTGGGTAGTTAGGTTGACTAACAGCTTCATACATTTAAGTTTTATATGTAAAGTTGTCAAGAGTAATATATCTTGAAAAGTGAATTGTAAACTACCTGCATGATCCATTTTTGTGTGAGTAATTGTTACCAAGTTAACTGGCATTTCAGGACTTTCAGTTGACGTTTGACATTGCTTCAAGTTGAAATGCACTACCATGCTTACTGTAAACATGTTGCAAGTACATGATTTTTATTGAAAAACAAACCACAATTTTCGCTCAACTTTTTTTGTCTGTTCTGGTGGCAGAATTTGACAGATATATTCATAATTTCACATGACATATATTGTAAAAAGAATAAATGGCAATGTTCAACAATGATCAAAGACATACATACTATTCTCATTTTGTTTTAAAAAAAAGGTTATAGTTTCTTATCACCATTCACCTATATTTCTTCAAAGTGTTTGTTCTAAATGATTTTAATAGACCGACAGTTTCAATGATCTGTACAGTAAAGTTCATTTATCCTCTGACTTTTCTACAGTTAATGAAATATACATGCTTCTAAAACATTGAGGTTAAACAATTTTTAGTTTACATGTATTCCTCAGTTACCTTTGAGTTAACCTGCATTCCTCAGTTACCTTTGAGTTAACATGTTTTCCTCAGTTACCTTTGAGTTTACATGTATTTCTATGTTACCTTTGAGTTAACATGTATTCCTCTGTTACCTTTCAGTTAACATGTATTCCTCTGTTACCTTTGAGTTAACATGTATTCCTCAGTTACCTTTGAGTTAACATGTATTCCTCAGTTACCTTTGAGTTAACATGTATTCCTCAGATAACCTTTGAGTTAACATGTATTCCTCTGTTACCTTTGAGTTTACATGTATTCCTCAGTTACCTTTGAGTTAACCTGTATTCCTCAGTTACCTTTGAGTTAACATGTATTCCTCTGTTACCTTTGAGTTTACATGTATTCCTCAGTTACCTTTGAGTTAACATGTATTCCTCAGATAACCTTTGAGTTAACATGTATTCCTCAGTTACCTTTGAGTTTACATGTATTCCTCAGTTACCTTTGACTTAAAACATGTATTCCTCAGTTACCTTTGAGTCAACCTGTATTCCTCAGTTACCTTTGAATTAACATGTATTCCTCAGTTACCTTTGAGTGAACCTGTATTCCTCAGTTACCTTTGAGTTTACATGTATTCCTCAGTTACCTTTGAGTTAACCTGTATTCCTCAGTTACCTTTGACTTAAAACATGTATTCCTCAGTTACCTTTGAGTTAACCTGTATTCCTCAGTTACCTTTGAGTTAACATGTATTCCTCTGTTACCTTTGAGTTTACATGTATTCCTCAGTTACCTTTGAGTTAACATGTATTCCTCAGATAACCTTTGAGTTAACATGTATTCCTCAGTTACCTTTGAATTAACATGTATTCCTCAGTTACCTTTGAGTGAACCTGTATTCCTCAGTTACCTTTGACTTAAAACATGTATTCCTCAGTTACCTTTGAGTTAACATGATTCTCCCTTGCCTTTGATTTAACAGCTGTACCTCAGCAGCCTTGGCATTTAATTTGTTTAATTATTACCTTTTTCAATATTGTTGAACATGCTTAGTTAACTTAATATTGAAACCATAATGTGTAAATAATGAAAAACAATACCTGTGATAGAAATCAATATTCATTTCTATACAGCAACACAAATATGATTTATCAGTGGACATAAATCTTGTGATGTTTTGTTGAGCTCTTCAAGACTGTGTGGGCAGGTGTAGGTTAAACAACAAATGTCTCCTAATGTCATCAAGGCCATTAGTACAAATACATCAATTTATGTATAATGGGACTATAATGAGAACTAAGAAAACACAGAATGGTGAAATATTTCATTTTAGATTAAAGTTTAAGGTTCTTAGAAAATCTTACAAATGTTTGTTTTGGTAAAGGCTTCTTCCTTACTTGAACAAATGATCAGTTTAAAGAACTATGAAATCAAGTTATAAATATTTTAATATTTTTTCTTTCGCACAACCTGACATTTTATGTGATTTATATTTGTTTTAAGTCCCCTACCGAAGAAGTCAAAGTGGACTTTAGGTTTGCACTCCGTCCGTCTGTCTGTCTGTCCATCCGTCAGTCCGGCAAATCAGCTTTCCACACTTTTTTTCTTCATGCTTGAAGATATTGATTTGATATTTGGTGTATTGTTTTATCATGACAAGTAACAGATCAAATTTGAATTTTTTTCCGATCTGATGATTTTGTGCAGAGTTCTGGTCCTTTGCCTTAGAAAGTTCACTAAAATAATCAGTTTTCTGCACTTTTTTATGTCATTCTTGAGGATATTGATTTGATAATTGGTATATAGTTTTATCATGACAAGTTACAGTTCAAGTTTGAATTTTGTTCCGGTCTGATGATTTTGTGCAGAGTTATGGTCCTTGGACTTAGAAAATTCACTCAAATAATCAGTTTTCAACACTTTTTTCCGTCATGCTTGAGGATATTGATTTGAAAATTGGTATATAGTTTTATCATGACAAGTTACAGATCAAGTTCGAATTTTGTTCCGGTCTTATGATTTTGTGCAGAGTTATGGTCCTTGGACTTAGAAAATTCACTTAAATAATCAGTTTTCAACACTTTTTTTCGTCATGCTTGAAGATATTGACTTGATATTTGTTATATAGTTTACGCCATGACAAGTTGTAGATCAAGTTAGAATTTTGTTCCAATACAATGAATTTTTAACCGGTAGGGGACTATGTATTGATGTATTGCCATGCAATACTCACAGAATGCTTGTTGTTTTTGTTTTTTTGTACATACATATATATATATGATCAGTTTTAACTAATTAAATTCATCAAAAATATAAATGTATATATATATATATATGCAAGTCTAAATTGAAAAACCGTAATTTTTATACGTGTGCATGCAAAACAAATTTCTTGGTAGAGGGGACTAAATACAGCACAAACAACATTTTCCAAAACACCAAAAAAGTGAAAAGGTATATTTTAACAAAACGCATTTGACTAGCAGGTCGTACAACGGAAGTTCTTAAACCCTGCTGACTGCCATTGGCGATTGCCAAATACACGGATCACCAGATGTAACAAAATGGATCTTAACTAATACCAAACAGAAAACAATAAACTTTCGGAAAAGATGGTATACCACAAACAAAAGGTGCAAAAATAAGTACACCATATCTGTATGTACATTTATATTTTTGATGAATTTAATTAGTTAGTTTTATCCCTATTTTCTTAAATTTTGCTTGATCTTATTTTATGACAAATTTTTTTCATATCGTGCTACTTGACAGAAAATGGTTTTTCTCAGTCGGATAGAGTGAGAACACAATGATATCATACGCCTTTGCCATTCATGTTGCCTAGCAAAAATGCCTAGGAAAAAAGGGATAAACTGATCAATGAACTTTCAAACTCAAAGATGTTTCTCAGCTACATTTCATCTTAGTGCTGTCCCCTTTGATGAGATTGCAGCCAAGAAACACCCTCTGTTTGAAAAACCATCGATTATCTATAATTCTGAAAAAAATGATAAAAGTTGAAGGACTTGATGAGAGCTGATGGGAAATGGCACCTATGAAACGATAGAGCCCTGATGTATATTGATGGTTCAATGACATGACATAAAGATAGAGCCCTGTTGTATATTAATGGTTCAATGACATGACATAAAGATAGAACCCTGTTGTATATTAATGGTTCAATGCATGACATGACATAAAGGTAGAGCCCTGTTGTATATTAATGGTTCAATGACATGACATAAAGATAGAGCCCTGTTGTATATTAATGGTTCAATGACATTACATGAGTTGACCACAGAGTTTAGTAGAAGGAGCTTTAAAGAATATGTTAACAAATTTTCAATCTTACTACTAGGGGTGGGGGTTAAGTAAATACCAAAATGGCATATATTTATTCCAGAAGAGTGCTCAATGGCATGATGGAGCCTCCTGTTGATTTATACAAGGTTTAGTTTCACTGTGTTCTTATTTTGCAGGTTTCAATGAAATTTGTCAGGAGGACCAGATAAATTTGATAAAACAAGGATCTTTTGAGGTGATGCTGGTCAGAATGTGTAACTTAGTAGATACGGAGAAAGAGGAGATGTTTGATCCAGATATGAAAATGAAATGTCCTAAGTAAGTAAAAGGATAAAAACTATTTTGAATGGTTTTATACCTATCTTAACTATATAGCTAACTGCTGTGTTTTTTATAACAAAATGTTTGGTAACGTGTAAACAGCCTTTCATAAATAGAATTTCAAGTATGAAAAATGTATGATTTTAAATTTTAGACCTTGCATGAATGCAATGTAAATGTCTTTGTGACTCATTGCAAAGAGCTAATGTTTTGTTAAGGGCTAATGTTGTCATGTAATGTTTTGCACAAAAATTATCATAAAAGTATGTGTTACTACAAAAATCTTAGGGAAACATATTTTATACCAATTTTTTATCTAATTTGCTGATTGTTTTTCGAAAGAAACACTAGGAAAAGTTAAAAGAAGTCAGCAAGAAATGATATAAGCTCATAATCACCTTTTGGGAGAGGTTCTAGACTTGCTTGATTCAGAGCTTGACATTCTTGTATAGACACTCGTCTATTGTTGAGGCCCTCATGGGGGTGTCCGAGTAATCACATAATCACAAATTTTTGCCAATATAATCACATAATCATTAATTATTTTTTTAAACAAGATAATCAAATAATCAAAAATACAGTCCTAGATTATCAAATAATCAAATAATCATGAAATATTTGGTCTGGTAATCAAATAATCACTATAAAAATGGTCAAGTAATCACATAATCAAAAACTCCATGAGGAGGCTCATTGTTGAAGAGTGTGTAAATCTGTAGATGTCTTTAAATTGATGTGTTGTTGGGTTGCTGTCTCATTGATGTATAAGCCCACATCTCTTTCTATTTATTGTTTTTATTGAAAATTTACTATACTGATTGAGAAATACAATGTTAAATGTTAATCCTGATATTTGTAAGTTTATATAATCGTTAATGTAAAGGTTGTACTTTTGTTCAATGTTACTTTGTTTTTAGTACATATTTTTAAGGGATTTATTAATTATAAAGTAAAAATTAGTATTCATTTTATTGAAGTTGAAAGCTTGGCAGGAATTATATTTAAATGAGTAGGAATGAAAATTCACAAATTGAACAAAATGATAGAACCACCTTAAAAATGACACTGCAAGAAATTTCATTTCAACATATGTGTCACCCAATAATTTAGATGTATTGTATACAGTACGTATGTAATTTTATCAATATTTAATATTAATCGAGCAATTTTACTTCTTTATTCTGTTAGGAAGAAACCTTGATGAAAACTCACAGTCCAGTTACAGTGTATTAGGATGTTGATCAATATTTTTCCATTAAGACATAGATATCTTGTCATTAATCAAAGTCCTGCAAAATAAACGTCCTCCCACAATACTTATCTCAGTATGATGTTCATTTTTCAAAGTGTGGTAGTCATGCTTACTCTAAATTATAATTGTTTTTGTTTTCAATACAGTGAAATCTGTCTTGACTCTACCAGTCTGAGACCATGTTCAAACAATAGCCCACCTGATGTGTTGAGTTTCCTTAAATTCATTTGATATGCATCCTCTAATAATAGCGTGATAAGTGCTGTTCGAATTTCAATAAAAAGATTGTTGTTTTTTTCATTCAATATATTCTTTACAAAAGTATAACAAAAACACCAAACTCAAAGGTAAATTCTAAAAGGGGAAGTCCTTTTAAAAAAGCTAACAAAATCAAACGTTATCAATCAATGGAACAAATGAAAAACTACTTCCTGACTTGGTACAGGCATTTTAACGAAGAAAATGGTGGGTTAAACCTGGTTTTATAGCTTGCTAAACCTCCCATTTGTATAACAGTTGTTTATAGTTCCATTATATTGACAAAATTGAGTGAGCAACCCAAACAGATGTAATAGGTACAAAAGATTAAATCAACAAATCAATTATTCACAGACCCCGACAGTAAAAGTATTATTGAAAAACCATCTGAAATTGACAAAAAGTAGCAGCATGCTGACATCTTGTCTGAACTAACATGGAAATACTTTTTAATATAAGACAGAAATTGATTGGTTGAATGACCTGAATGATATAAAATAAACCACTCAAGACAAACATTGAAATTGATTAAAAAAATACTGAATATCCATCAAGAGATAATATTCTGATTCATGGAAATTACAGGTCAATCATTTCTCCCTTATTTGTAGATAACACTATACTTGAAAGTGACATAACTTTTTGTAACAAAGTATTGTAATGTAATTGAAAAAAGTTTGTGCTGAATAATGAATATAAATATATATATATATAAGGTATGAAGACCTTTTACTATGAACACAATTATTTTTTTCTGCTTATAGGGCAGTTGTTCTTGGAATGCCAATGGGAACATTTCTGGTGGAGTTCTTTAAAGTAGCCAAAGCCTTCAATCCTTTACAGTTAACAGATGGTGAAATTGGGATCTTCACAGCTACACTTATTATTTGTCCAGGTAACACAAATATGGAGGAAAAAAAAACATTTTCTTCATGAATTGCTGTTCTTAAATTCTTAAATTTTTGAAATAATCATCAGGTACACCTGAGGTCTAAAGTTTGTAAAACTAAAACTTTAAAAAACATTTGAAATAAACACAAATGGTCAAAGCAGAACATCTCAAATCTCCACAAATTAGTTTGAGGGTGAGTTACAACCTTAGCTTTCATACAGTTACATGAAATACAGAATAAAATGGAGTATTTTTAAATGATAAAAAGTTATGATCTGAATTTTGGGGAGGATGATTGCTCCCCTTATAAATGAAGAAACAAGAGTAAAGGTCCCAAGGTCCTTGTGAGCTTTGTTGGGTCAGAAATACTCCTCTCTTTTCAGCCCCTACTACAATGCTGCTCTGGACATTTAGAGTTAATCCCTTGTACAACTAGTCCAAAATATTGTATACAATCCTGTAAAATCCTAGATTGTAATGAATATGATTGTCTGAATCTATTCTCTCATTATTTCATTCGGTGTGATATTAATGGTTACAATGCAATGGTTTCATAAATTTTCTGATTTTTAGAACTCAGAATGAAAAAAATTTAAGGATGTTTGCTACTCTTGTTTTTGACTTTCTGTCAGATTTCTGTCTCCTTTAGTTTTATCCATGTATTGCCTATAAAAAGTTTCCCCACTAATCCCTGCTATTCTTTTCCTAATTTTATTCCAAAAGAGTTCAAAAAAACATTTTTGAAAATCTTATTAAATCCTTGTTATTTTTTGAAAGAAAAAAGGTGCCACTGTTAAATATATGAAAAATCTAGAGAGAATCATTTTCTGCCAAATTTTCAATTGATTTTATCTTAAAAACAAGGACACAGACCTATATTTTTTTTCTGTTTTTAAGTTCTTTTATTTATATACTACAATGTATAAATTTATTACAGTCTTTTTAAAAGCTTGTTATTTTGAAACAGAAGAGCGAACATCCTTAAAAGAAAACAATAGACTTTTTTCTCAATGTATGACCATCCTTATCTGTTACATGTATTTAGGTAACAAAAAAGTAGGAAATAAATATTTACATGTCATTTCCCAGTCATTGTATAAAAAGATATGACATATTTATAAAAGACTATTAAAAAAGATGGCAAAATGAATTTCCTGTTTTTTTTAAATAAATAAAAAAAATAGCAGATAAGTGTAAAAAAAATAATTGAAGAAAAATGCATTTAAGACACATTCCCAATTATTTTGAAAAATATTTCTTTTCTAATATAAGAGAGATAATTCAAACAGTTCCTGATAATTCGGAAGGAAAAGAATTTTTTTCCTAAAATATAAGATAACCTTGAAATCTTAGTTATTTATGGTTCCCAAGACCCATCCTGAAAATGGTATATACTCACATTTATAATTTATTTGTAGATCGAAAAAGTATTATAAACTCGGTAGCTATAATGAAGTTACAGTTGTTGTTAATGCAGGCTTTGTATGTACTGATCAAGAAAAATCATAGTGGTAAGTCAAATCAGACAAAAGTAGTTATATATATCAAAGAAATTTGACTAATTTACTTATATTGTAAGGATATTTAATACTTTTTCAGTTTATTGATACAAGAATGTAACTAACTTACAACCAAATAGTACTTGTAAATATGTGCATTTGAAAATTTGACTGCTGTTCCACCAGAATTCAGCTTAATTTAATTTTATTTATTTTACAAAAATTGTATAAATCTAGTATTAATACTATAAATAGAACCCTATACTGTTTATGCAGATTAGCTGGGAGTTCTTTATTGCAGTAAAGTGTAGTTTTCTCTGTGTTTGATAAAGTAAATATATCGAGAAAAGAACTGATTTCTACCACATACAATACTGAATTCAGGCTTGTATAGTACACGGTTTTATTCTCCAAAATTTAACGTGCGGATTATAGAGTACGATAAGCAAAAAATAAGAGAAAAAATCTTATCATTTTCAAAACTAATAATTTACCTAATCCATATTCATATGCACACTCTCACATATTTATTTTCATTTACAAGTGGTATTCGAACTTCCGGTTTAAACAAACACAAGTTTCTCAATTGTTTTTATGCCTCACCTAGGGTTTTACCCATCCATTATGTTTTTCGGTCTGTGCGTCCATTCTTTCATCCGTCCTTTTGTCTGTCTGTCTGTCTGTCCTTCTTCAGGTTAAATTTTTGGTCAAGTTAGGTTAAAAGTTTTTGGTCAAGGTAGTTTTTGCTGAAGTTGAAGTCCAATCAACTTGAAACTTAGTACATATGTTCCCTACGATATGATCTTTCTAAATTTAATGCCAAATTAGAGTTTTTACCCCAATTTCACGGTCCACTGAACAATGATAGTGCGAGTGGGTCATCCGTGTACTATGGACACATTCTTGTTTTTTTGTGATTTTGACTTATTTTAACACTCTTGAAGTGTTCTAGAATCCTTTACAAGCATTTTCAACTTCTATTTGGTAATGGAAAACAGGTTTTTCCATGAAAATACCACAAACGATCACACACGATTTGAAATTACCGTAGTTTCATTAGACGTTTTCGAACAGTTACAAAAAATTTTTTTTACTTGAATTCTCTTGGCAATGTACCTATGCAAACTATACAAGGCCGTAAATGCCAATGACTGTTCACTTTAATAAAATAGATATTTGGGTAGCAAAAAGTTAAGGTAGGGTTATTTGTCCTGCTCATACGCAGTTCTAGTTTCTTATTGGAATATAAATGTAATTCATTAATGGAATGCCATTTGCCAATTGAAATTTACTTATGAAGTTGAATTGTAATAAATTCATAATATCAACTTATTTTTGCCTCTAGACATATATATATATTATAGGTCAATCCCAGAATGAATAACATGTCTAGAATAATTTTACTTTCTCTCTCACTTTTGTTTACACTATGGCTTAAATGTTTTTAAAATCTGTGCAATCATTTGTTTATTTTGGCATAAAATCATCTTTTCCTCAATTGAAAACTGGCTATGGCATAAGACACATATACTATACATTAAGAAATACACATCCTGGCATCATAAATTGAAAGTTTTGAAAAAGGAATTTAGCCTGTAGAATTAAGTTCAATCTTGCAGTCTATATTTTCTTTAAGTGTAATGTATCATTCCAGCTGAAATTCTGTCGAAAAAGTTTTAGCTTGAAAGTAAAACTCTTTGGGCCTTACAATTTTTTCGATCTTGTCAGCTCATATTTCTTAGTAAATTTAATTGGCATCTGGTGTTCCCACTATAATGCAAGAACTCAGTACTGCATTAGTGGTAATAACAGCAATATTCACTGTTTTTTTTTTTTTTTTATTTAATTGTAAATTCAGTTTATTTCACCACCATTAGATAATATAGTTTAAAAGATTGCTGCATATCACAAACTCAAATATAAACTTTTGTTTTCCTATGTTTTCAGACTATGACAGTTTATTTATAGAGCTGATGAAAAGGATCCCAATATTCAGAGGAATCAATGCAAAACATGCTAAGATGTTGAACAATATGAAAATGAACTCTCCTGAAACAATAAGCTTGTTTCCAGAGTTACACAAAGAAGTATTTCAGGAAAGCGAATTGGCTTAATGCAGTGAATATTTTATATTTATTAGAAACTAGTGCTATAATTTTGTCTACGCATTTACAAAGTGCGTAGAACTTTGTTACTATATTAAAACAATTTAGAATCTATATGAAATGTTGGGTGGATATTCCACATCAGTATATTGTGAATACCGGAAGTTTTCAAGGAGGAATGTAATAAGTGCATTATTATAGTGCTAATATTTGACACAAAAATTGTACTTAGCACACTTTTGAAAGGTGAGCTTATTGGATTTACATTGTCCGTGTGTCTGTTATGTGTTAACTTTATGAACAAGGATGACATTTGGTGTACAATACAATGTAACTTTGTTAACCAAACTTTTGTAAAGTAAAAAAAAAAAGATAATCACTGTCACCTACATTTATATAACATTGTAAATAGGTCATTGTCACTTATGTTTGTTTACCAGCTACAAAATTACAGAAAGATGGGTTGATGTGACCCATGATTTACAGTTTAAGGCAGTTTTATAGATAAATGACTGACATTGTAGAAATATTTTGCAGTGATATCATATATATCTCTGTATATACAACTGATAAATAATAGAAAAGTTACAACTGGTGAATGGTGTCCTATGATCAAATTGTATCTGTAACTAAATAGTTATAGACTGTGTGTCTTGGACAGCTTGGACAGCGGCTGTGTTGTTTAATTGTCAGTCTCTGAACTACAACCAGGTTAACATTTGAATATGACCCAAACAAAACAGTTGTTGTCCTGAAATCATATGATTGTTACTACTGCTGGTCAGTCTGATGTTAAAGGTTGTATGTATATCAGGGCACCTGTTGCCAAAGCTTAGTAATTTCTGGATTACAAAGTATTTAATTAACAATCTTATTTAAATATATCATATCATTTATCAATGTTTATTAACCTTATAAATCAACAAAATACATTATCAGATTACCTTACTAATAAGGTGTACAGTACTTGCAGTAATATTATTTTTATAGAATTTTTTAAATTATTGAAATTCATTGAATCCCCTCAAAGCAAACCTGAAGTGGCGCATTGGGATATCTTGTCATCTATTGTAGTGGTCATCAGTGTCACTTTGTTTTTGTTTATCGGCAACTCCGTGAAAACAGATTTTTCAGAATTCAACTAAACTTGCTCTGAATCTTGTATGGAACATGAAGATATACAGCTGCAATTTAAATTTTTGGTCTGAATGATTTTTAGAGGTTCCCATACCACAACATGGACTTCGCCATTTCTGCTGACGTTATTTTAAGCGGCAGGAGACACGTTTTCCTTGGAAGACTCTCACATTATTATAACCAGCATATCTATGTAAAGAACGTTATTTCCTTAGCAGACATAACAAAGTATTACTACTGTTTATATGCTGTTTTAAACTTTCTCTCAGCAGTGTATACCTACTTGATCACCTCAGTGCCTAAATCATGTTTATGATAATATTTCCAATGTAATGATTTCGATGTGGATTGTAAAATGGTTATTTATTTGTAAACAATATCATTTTTTACAGTTTGATCTAAATAAATAGTCAAGTCAAGTAATTTTGTTTTGTCCGGTAAGTCTGTGCAATTCATTGATATTATGGTACAAGTACAGACATATGGGAAGAACGGATTTACTTGCCAGCATTGTAGTGATTGCCAAATGCTTTCCATCACTTGGTTTAATAAGTTTAAAGACATGCGGTCAGTTTTATGGACAAATTAGCATTTTGTTTCATTGAATTTCAGATGAATTTCTCTCCAACATTTTGCATTTTGTCATGAACAAATTTCAGTATCAGCCTGTTTTTACATTTTGGTGTTTTTTTGATAAAATTTACAGTTCTTTATATTTTTATGGCAGAATTTGACTAAAATTTAGAATAACCGTCACACTATTCTATGAAGTGGTGTTGGAAAAAATTTGTTTATTTACAATCCAATGTATTTATGTTCCCATGTTATGACCATGTCTTGAAAATTATATTACTATGGCATGATTTGTTTCAGTTATAGCATTTTTCGTGTTAAAACAACAATTTAACAATTCACATACGAATGAACGAACTGTTGTGTGTTACATTCATCATATGTTAAAAAATGTTTTACCTACAATGATATACAGATTTATATAAAAATATAATTGTTATATATTAATGTTGCTGTGTATTAATAATGAAATCAGTGTGTTGAATAACAAGCATATTTGTTTTGAAAGTTTGATTGTTAGTGCAATGTTTGTTTTTCTTGCATGAATGCTGTAATTGTATACAGGTGAAAAAAAAGTAAAAACATTATGGCGAGAAAAGTGTTGGAAAAAACTGTTTTTTAACTTTGTTTTAGTGCTTGTTATATGTGTGAATGTGTTCCAGTATCAGTAGGTAACAACTCAGTATGGTGTGAGTCCTTCATGAGGGTCTGGATGGGGAATCCTTCACTTCTGTATTCTTTAATCGTTTTGACATTTTTCTTTATTTTTAAAAATAACTCTTCTCTGTAAAATTCTCATGAAAATCATTTTACTATTAGATTTTTTTTTGCTATGAAATGGTTTCTTGTTTCTGTATATGATTCATTTCTATAATCAGTATTTTATAACCGAATACTTTTATTTTTCACAGTTTATTCTTTATTTTTTTGCACCCCATTATTCTCTATTCTTTATTTTTTTTGTTTTCTTTTTTTGTCTATTCATTAATATTTTTGGCCATTATTCTCTATTATGTAAACCCCATCTAGACCCTCCTTTGTTATTTAGGGATCTATACATCACCATAGTTACACAAATAATTTGCTTGTTTATTTACTAAAGACATATATTTTCTTTTTTCCCTTCTTTTTTATTGGAAGGGGATACTATGTAACAGAGATTTTAAAAATTGAGTCTGATATACTTGCATGGATTTCATTTGCTTTACTTTTGCTCTTTTTCAACTTATTTATTGTACAAGAATAGAGGCATGGTTTTCTTTTAAACTAAACTATTTCTGTGATATTTAAATGTTTTTTAAGAAAATATTAGATAAATTAAATGTTATGAGTACATACAAAATATATAATTGTTGGAGTGTAAAATAGAATTAAAGTATATGATTTGGTTGTAAATAGCAGTTACATGTCAGCTAGAAATGGATTGTGGGTAGAAGAAAATGTGAAAGGCCATTTTTTGTTGGCAGCTAGGATCCAGGTTTGGTCAAACAGATATTTTTTTTACTGGACATCATGTAAATATTGAATTTATTGAAATCATAAGAATTAAGTTTTAACTATCTAGATAATGTTTTTAATTCTGTAAATGAAGTATAAGGCAGAGAAAAAGACCTAATAAGAAGTTTTTAACAATTTGAATTTGATTTATTTACAAGAAGTTCATAATTTAAGAAGTTGTAACAACCAAAAGAAGGTGGGATTTTTTAATTGTTAGCAATGACCCATATTTTTTTATGGTTTATAAAAGACAAATGAAGTTATGTATAAAATCATAGGATTTATAGGAAAACCCCAAACATACCATTTTTTATTTCGGCCTTAAATTTTGAGAATCTGAAATAAAAACATTAAAAACAATCTATTTATTTGTTTACGTTGTATTACATGATTATGATTACAGAATAAAAAACATCCCCGACTAACTTCACTGTCTTAATCCCACAATCCATGAATGAAGTCTTGTATACCACACATAACTATCTGATATTAGATTTTGAAGAAAAGACCAGTCAATGAATTTATTTAGTTGAAAATGCAAGTAAATTTCTAAATTGTTTGAATATGATATAACATAAGAATTCAGAGATGTTTTAAAAATAAGTTCTGCTTGATGTGGTGCAGCTTTAATGAGGACTATTTTCCTTATTGAAAATCAAATATTGCTTTCAAGATTAAGCTTTATTCAAGTTAATCAGGTTACACCCCTCTCAGGAGATTTCCAATAGCGATTGATGAAACATATTTTCATACATACATACATATATATATATTCATCTTTTACATTTATTACTTGCATTCTTATCACTGACTATAATGAATTTCTAATTTAGATTAATATTATGAATGGAAAAAATTTAATTGTATGTTCTAAAAGTAGGTCACCTATTTTTAATACTACTAATCATTTATTTATAATTTCAAAAATAATGGTTTTTTTTATGATTGTAAAGCCTTTTAATTGTCAGCTATATAATAGACCCGAAATTATTGAAAATCAAATTCTACAGTGTTTATTAAAACAAAATGGAATTAGGGTTTTATGAACAGTCTAAAAAAACTTCAAGTTGATTAAAAAAGTACAGTTTTTCAACTTTTTTTTTAATAAAATATTTTGTTTGAGCATGTTAATTTTTTTCATTTAAAATGACTGATGTAGAAATTCTATTTTAAGGTGTAAGTTAAAATGCAACAAATTTCAAGATTAGAAAAAATGTAAGAACTTCTATTTCTTATATGAATTTTTATGTAACAATAGGATACCAAAGCCCGGTGTGATCAGAAAGTTCCTTTATTTTATTATTCATATGTGATAAAAGAATTTTATTGTTTTTTTTTTTATTGTCTGAAGTAGAAAGAGTAATACATCATAAATCATGTATTGTAGTGTTAACTAATTTGTTTCCATTAGGTGTTCTAATTCTCCCCTAAACATGATCTCATCTAGTAACAAGTTAAGATTCATTTTCCCATTTGTAAAAAAATATGAAAAATATTCATAACACCTTTAACATACTTAGAAATTAGAGTACATGGAGAAAAGGGTTATACACATCTATTGAATAAAACTAGTAGTAATTTGGGTATATAGATATAAGAAGATGTGGTATGAGTGCCAATGAGACAACTCTCCATCCAAGTCAAAATTTGTAAAAGTAAATGCTTACTAAAAATTTGATCTTTACTAGACTATATGTAAGAACATTGTTGACAAAATATATATTTAATTTCTGTATAAAAATAAGAATATGATGTATGATTGCCAATGTGTTGTTTATACAGTGATAGACAATTGAGCTTTGACAATTTTTTTCTTGTCTATTTCTTCATTTGCCAAAATAAAATTGTATATTTGTAAACAATATGCACTGTATTCTCTAATAAGGATTTATATATTATTGAATATAATGAGTGTCTCACATTAAATTGCAGTCAAAATAATGAAAGGGAAACAACGTCATAAGTTATCAAGCTATTTAGGGGTTTGAATATATTGTTTGATTTCCATTTGTGCAATTACTTGTTATTATATGCTGATGTGAACTTAGAAATAAGCTATTTAATTTTACTTGAATATTCATAGGAAACAGTCCATTAAAATGAATTTAGAAGGGTAGGAATGGAAATTCTATTTTTTAGTTTTTAGAAATGAGGCGTGAGTCCGATGTGGTTGTTTGTCCATTTGATGTATGCAAGATTACACAAAGAAAGCATTTTGTTGAGGGGGTTTTTGGAAGTCCCTTCCTACCCTCCTCCATTTATTTTAATGGAATAGCCCTCAGAAAAAGAGATAGCCAACAATGTGTGCCTCTTCAATATATATAATGGTTATCATTGTAGATAAATTGTCTCCTATCATGTTAAATGTGTATTGAAATCATTATTTTTTTTTTGTAGAGTAATTTAAGTACTAACACATTCACTTATTGAACAGTGCTCTTTTAAAGTTCAGGCTTTTTAAGTTAATGTAAGACCTCAATGATTGGCTATTTACCATTTGTTCTGAAGAGAGAAAAATGAATACACATTATTATGTATCTTTTCTCAATACATATTTGCAAAGTTAAAACAGATATGAATGTTCTTTAAATGAATATAGATCTCTAAAAATCCTAAGGTAAAGATATAATTTGACAGAAGGAAAGAAAATATTAAATATAGATAAACTGGTGTTGGAGTATACACCAATGAGATAACCCAAGACTTCTAGATATCAACATACAATCTGCAACTAAAAAATGTTTTTTTAACCAAATGGGGAAAAATTTTGTGGGTGTTCAAAATAGGATGATAAAGATTCAGAATATATAAGAATAGAAATATATATATATATATGTAACCTGTAATGAAATGTTGAAGTGGTATAGCTAATTTCCCCTGTATTTATTTCAATCATGGTATCAAAATCAGAAAGTTCATGTTACCTAGAGTAACCCGATTATTAGTGTCAATAACATACGTTGAAAGATTTCCAGATTTTGCCAATAATCATAAAAATGTTATTGAGCAATTCACAATTTGGATGCAATTTTGAACTGCGCATAAAAAACCCACATGATATGACTTCACAAGACACATGTTTCTGGATTTACTTTTATGAGGTAAATTGTTTGGTAAACTTTTAAAAGTTTTAATATCTGAAAGACAATACATAGCTTTCCATCTGTTTGGATTTTTGTTTTGGTCAAAGAGTTATAACTTTACTTTTTTTTATATAAGTTCTTAAAATAACCTTTTTTTGAGTCATTAAGGCAGTAATAATTTGGTAATGTTCAGAAATTTGAAAAATACATAATATTGCTCAAACTTTGGAAGTAAACACATGAAGCTGTGATACTGTGAATTTTAATATAGATGGAAAGAAATTTTGGCAGACCCTGGTGTTTAATAAATAAGGAGTTATTGGCCACACCTCTTGATTCAAAGGATTATGATAGTCAAACAAAAGATAAATATTTATACACATAAACTACTGTATATATATATTTTTTCTCTATTCACATCTGATATAATCAACTTGAATGTATGCTTTTTTTTTAACAAAAAGCTATCCACAATTGTGTTACTCAAGTTTTAGTTTATCCTTAAGTTTTAGATTTAATTTGTGCCATACAAGCCAAATTCATTTTGTGCTTCAATTGATTGCTCATTTGTATATATCACATAATATATATATATATACATATATATAGAAATACATTTTGACTTCAAATGGTCAAGATAAGTGAATGTCCTTGACAGCTGTATCAGAGGTTATTGTGTACAGGTCAAGGTCATTATGGAATGTATTTATTTGACCTTGTATAGAGTAAACATGTATTACCATCATACTATACACAATTGTTAAATGTAATTTGTGAGAAAAATAAAATCTTTTTGTTTTGGAGTTTGTGAAATATTGTAATATTTGTTAGATCAAGTAAGTTTCAGTAAGGGCTTTTCCAGAATTAATTTAATTGGGGGGTTGGAAGGCACTTTAATTAAAATTTGATGGGTGGTGGTTATTTTAGACAGATAGCCTTAACAATGATAATAAATAATCAATTAAAATTTTATGCATGTCGGGCCTAAATAAAAAGTGCCTTCTGACCCCCCAATATATTTATTTCTGGAATAGCCCTAACAGGGTTTCACCTAAAAGGGAACATGCACAAAAATGAAAATCAAGATTAAGATAGATATGAACTAAGGAAGATATGTGGATAAAGATTAATAAGACAGCAAGCCAAGAAAACAAAGGAACCAAAATAAACAATTAATTTCCCTGTTCTCTCTTTTTTTTTTTACTGAAAATAGATTGATTTTACTTTCAAATACAATTTATATGCCTTTAAGTTTGGTTTGGCTATTAAACGTCCTCCTTATTTAGATTTGAGATAAAAACATGTTGAACTTGCCTATATCTATCTACAGTTGCTGTGTTGTGCTATGTCTTATGCACAAAAGGAGATGAAGGGTAAAGGTCAATGAGAGGGCAACAAGAAAACCCTATTATTGCATCTAGAGGTCAATTAAGGTGGTCTATACAACATGTCAAGCTGTAAACAAAGTTTAGAAAGTAATGAACAAACTCAACAGAGGCTGTAAACGATATGCTATCTACACTGTGCCCAAATTACCCAACATGACCAAAAAAAAGAGGCGAAGGATACCAAAGGGACATTCAAACTCATAAGTCGAAAATAAACTGACAACGCCATGGCTAAAAAAGAAAAAGACAAACGGACAAATAACAGTACACAAAACATAACATAGAAAACCAGACTGAGCAACATGAACCCCATCAAAAACTGGGGGTGATCTCAGATGCTCCAGAAGAGCATAGATATAATGGCTATTATATCTATGGGAAGAGTAAGCAGATCCTGCTCCACATTTGGCACAAAAGGTGCACCAAGATTTGTTAAAAGATAACTACTAACAAGGTTCTTGGCTTGGGAAAGAAACACAAACATATGACAGGGTTACCGGTACTCAAGTTTTCTTAGATCTTCACCCTCTCCTTTTTAATCTTGATCAGTGGATAAACAGAAGGAACCTCAAAAAATTTACATAAAACATTTATAACTTTAAAATAAATCTTAAACATACTCGACTGTACTTGTACTTGACCCTTATCTTTGCCATTGAAAATAGTCTGAACTGTTACTCGACCAGTCTGAAACAGTCTTAACCCATTCTCGGCCTGTACTCAACCAATACTCGACCATACTCGACCAAAGGTCTGAACAACACTTGACCAGTCTGAACCATACTTGACCATTATTCGAGTGCGTTGTTATAATGAACACAGAAGATTATAAACTAGAGGTCGAAAAAGAATTAAATAACAACGATACTTACAAAGCAATAGATAAGGATCTCACACAGAAAAAATGAAAATAAAGTAAAGAAACTTATAGAGAATTTATGTAAAAGAAATATAATAGACAAAGACATGAAAAAATATCTATTACCGAAAGGAACATGTCCTGGAAAAGTGCAAGCCAATCCCAAATTGCACAAAAAAATCATCCGGTTAGAACGATAATTAATGGGCGGAACCATCCAATAGAAAAAATCGCGGAAATAGTGGAAAACGAACTTTAGGAAAATGTACGAAACTTGCCCACCTATATTAAAGACACAACAGTTTTTTTAAACAAACTAAATGCAATACAACAGCCATTACCAGACAATGCAATAATGTTTTGTTTAGATGTAACTAAATTGTATCCAAGCGTACCAAGAAAAGAAGCACGAGAAGCATGCAAAACAGCATTAGAAAATCGATCTGATACATCAATCCCAACTGAAGATGTACTTGAAAATAATAATTTTAGCTTCAACGGAAAGCACGTTTTACAAACCGAAGGAACAGCTATTGGTTCCCATCTATGCATGAATTATTCTTGCACCTACCTCGGACAATGGGAAGAAAATGTATTTCAAAACAGCAATTTACACCCGTTTTCATATTGGAGGTATGTTGATGACATCTGGGGAATATGGGAACATGGTTTAGATGAATTAAAAAAATTTCACGAAATGTCCAATAACTTACATCCGCGAATTTAAACAGAAATGCATTACTCAACTGAAAAAATCGAATTCCTTGATGTGTTTATACACATAGAAAACGGACAACTTAAAACAGATCTTTATACAAAATCAACAGATAAACACCATTACTTACATGTTTCGTCAAGCCATCCAAATTCTGTAAAAAATGCTATACCATATGGACTCGGTATTCATGTCAAAATAATTTGCTCAACAGAAGAAAATTACAAAATAAGAAGAGAAGAAATAAAAACGCACATGAGAAAACGTGGATACAATAACTCGTCAACTGAAGTTCAATTAAAAAAAGTCGACATTTTAAACCGAGAAGATCTATTACAGTACAAACCAAAGAAAGAAAACGACAGAGTACCCTTAGTAATTACTTTTTCGAAAGCGCTTCCAAATATACATTCAATTCTAAGAAAAAATCTTAAAATTCTCCATCAATCTAACAGGCTAAAGAAAATATTCCCCGATCCGCCTATCGTAGCATTTAAATCGATAACAACATCGTAGTGCACAAGAAGCATAATTTACTATTTTATAAACAAACTAATGGATGTGCATTATGCTCACACATAAATTAAACCAAGGTATTTTGTGACAACACAGGGAAAGAATATACCATTCAGGGACAAATAAATTGTAAAACCGTAGGCATAGTATATGCAATTAATTGTACAAAATGCGAAAAATTTATATATGTAGGACAAACGGGTGATACACTATATCAACGGATGCTATTGAACTTTTCAAAAATACGAACAAAGAAAACAGAAGATCCGGTAGCCAACCACTTCATTCAGCATAATCATTCGATGAAAAATTTAAAAGTTACCGCCATAGAAAGAGTATTTGGAACAGAAATTTACAGAAAAACTAAAGAAGCCTTTTGGATAAAAAAATTAAAAACTTTAGAGCCTGATGGACTCAACACAATGTATGAACGATAATGAAAATATTTGTATAACAAAAGAAAAAAACGCGGCAAATGAACGTCATAGTAGTTATTATAACGTAATGTATCCAAGCAATGTAATTGTTGTTTCAATGTTGTAATTTATTCCAATGAAGAAGGTCGTAATGGCCGAAACGTAAGGGAATTTGTGTTATAGTTTTTATTATATATATCAATATAGTAATTATGAATATACGCAATCATAGGGTTGAACGTTGTTTTCAATTTAGACTTGTTTGTAATTATGAATATATATATATATAATTCGTCTCAAATATATATAGATTCTACCACTGCATCGAGTGTGATACGATATTTATCCACTCGAAACAGTTAATTTTCAAATTTAAAACGCGAGGCTCGCCGAGCGTTTTAAATATTTAAAATTTAACTGTCGAGAGTGGATAAATATCGTATTACACGAGATTTGGTGGTGGAATCTGTTTCTCTAATGATTTTCAAACAATACGCAGGCAAATTAATTCATTCTTTTCGAATGATCTGCAAAAAGATGTGCTCTTTCTATGTGACGTCATCAGGCATGGGCGCCTTTTTTCATGTCGTCACAATAGGAAATTCAGAGGAAAGCAAGAAAATTCGACGTCATAATCGGATTTTAACCAATGAAGAACTGAGATCAAACGAACCACACGTTGATTAATTTTTTTTTATACAATGGGTGCAGAAAGGGATAATATGACGAAGAATTAGAGAAATATAAATATATAATTCGTCTCAAATATATATAAGTGTTGATGAATATGATGATTATATTATGTTTATTGTGAAATTTTGGTTTCAATGCTATATCAAATACATTTTGGATTTCAAATTGTTGTTCACATTTCTAGCCAGGGGAAATAGCTGTTGTTAGAACAGTTCCTTAATTGATGAAATACAATAGATAGATACAAAAAGTCACAGGACAGAAAGTCACAAATTTGATAGGACAAAAAGTCACAAATAATTTGTTTAAAATTGTTTAACTATATAAGAGAAAGTTCTTGAAATAATTTCTTTTTATTACATATACTCATTTAACAGTTAAGGAAATCGTTCATAAGCCTTGATAAATGAAGATTTATCAAATTTTATAGAATTTAGCTAAACTTTGAAAGGACACATTTCTTGACACGATGAAGCCATTTAAATACCAAGCCACTTTGACAAAATCGTTTTCTGAACAATTGTATGATATCATTGTTTTTTTCAGAATGAATTTTGTTTACAAAGTTGCTTTATATATAATAATTCAATAAAATTACAATTCATGTTTTTAAAAATAAGCGTTTTTTTATTCAAAGAAAAATAATCTCAAAACTGAATTGTGACTTTTTGTCCTGTGACTTTTTGTCCGAGACATTTTGTCCTTGACTATTTATTCTGTGACTTTCTGTCCTACATTAAGTTCAGACTAGGGTGAACATGGTTCAGACTTGGTCGAGTATGGTTCAGACGCGTATAAAATGGTTAAGTACTGGTCGAGTAAAGGTCGAGTATAAATTAAGACTGTTAAGTATGGTTCAGACTACAGTCGAATAATATCAAGTAAAATTCAGACCAATTCAGACTGGTCGAGTAAAAATCAGTACAGTCGAGTACAAATATAGGTCATTTAAGACTTTCACTGGTTTGTAGTGATTTCCAATCAACAGTAATATATTATTGCCTTGTATCAGTTTCATACAAAAATGCCAGGTGAGCGATACATGGTCTTTTGAGATAAGTTCCTCGTCACTTTAGCAGACCTTTCACTTTTGCAACACTTGGATATCTATAGTAATATTCGTGAATATGCTTATTTCGTATGTTTTTCTTTACAATAACACACACTCAATTAAATTCGTATCTACTAGATTTAGAGCAGAGATGACTCTGTGTTTGATCTCCGTGAATTCCATCTTCCCGTTTCTACTAATATTAGAAATTTTTACCTTTGGAGGCTTTGAAAGGTTTTTAAAAAGTAAAGTAAAGGTAAATGATGAGAAAAATTTAAAAATTGATGTTTTTCTAGAGGAACTGTATTATATAGCACTTTGGGAAAGGCACATAAATAGGTCACGGAGACCTAGGATTTAAACAACTTAATAATCACTATGCAAATATTTCTCGAGATTCCATCGAACTATTTTTTTCACTTTGGGACATGAAACTGCAACACGAAGAAAAATAATTTGGGGAAGGGAGTAGTATCCAAAAAGTTCAACAGCAGAGGACAGGTTGATTAAATGGATTTCCAATCAAACTCAGATGGAAACTATAAATGTCTTATGGTGTACCTAAATCACCTAACAAAATGATAAATGTTTTTTTTATTTGCTCGCATTTACATTTAAGGCATTACGATTAATCCGCGGACACATTTTTCAGAATTTAAGCTTTAATCCCAGGATTTAAGAATAATGCATAACATCATTTAGGCAATAGACTTACTGCCTAGGCGTTAGCTTATTGGAAAAGGATTTAAGCTTAATGCCTAATTTCACTTATTGCCACTAACATATACATGTATTAGATTGATGATATCAGAAAACTAAATCCGATATTGTTTAAGATGGATTTTACATTTTCAATCTATTTGAAATTATGCAATTCCGATTCGTTCATAACTGAACATAAGAGTACAAATACATAGCTTATGATTATTGCAAAAACACATACCATTCGAAGTTCGATAACGATATCGATGTTACTCGGAGTTTGATGGAATATCAATTTTCACTTTTTGTGAGTCTCTTTTTTTTTTTATTTTCACTTTTGTACACATTTACTACCTTCATTGAGTAAGGCAAAATATATATTTCCATTCTTTTTTGGGCAAGGTTATTTCTTTTCACTTCTTACCAGGCCAGAAAAAAAAAATAAACAAATAGAGTGGGTGGCGCATATTCGCCTTGGACACATTTTCGCCGTTTTGCTATTTCTTCTGTAAAATGTTTGTGCCTTTACCCAATACTTGCCTAAAAAAATGGTAAAGGCTGTTTGTAATGTTCGAACAGTTGATATTCCTCTTTACCCCATTTCCAATGTTATTTGCACATATTGAGAAATACGCAGGTGTTTTTAAATGATTTTGGCAATTATGTAAGATTTATATGGCAATCATGCGCAGTCTTAAAGTAAATATTTGCGAGAAAAATCGTATAAGAATGATCTCTCAAGCTAATTCATGTAATGGCAAACATTCGTTTTTTATAATATACCAGGATAATGAGGATTGTCATATCATACATTGCGGCGAAAATGTGTCCCCCATGGTACACGAACAACGTGATTTCCTCTTGAGTTTGCGTTTTTAGAACAATTAACCAATGTTTTGAAGATAATTTCTTTATCAAACATTTTTTTCATATAGTTAAATTTCTGAAACCTTCATAAAAAGTTCCAAATATTCGAATGTAGGTCGGATGTAAGTAGAAATGCACGAATTATGCGGCGAATATGGGTCTCTCACTCTAGATAAATATACAATATATAAAACAAAACAAAAAAATACAATTTTGATTAAAAGTCACACCAATATATAAGTTAGAATGTTTGGTTTGAAAGCCATAGATGATGTATAGATATTAACGTAAGCACTATAATGACCAAAAGGGACATAAAAGAATAGTCAAATTCAGCTATAATCAACTTTGCCTGAGAGAGTTGGATCTTTAATTTCTTTATTTTAACAACGGGCAATTTTAATCAGATATGTAATAAATAATGTCAGTACCGAAGCACGAATTACTAAGCTTATTACATGTATCTCCTTGGGAATCACTGTCCACCAGCAGTGGTATTGACCCAATGTTAGTAAATGAAAATATAACAACGTAAACTTCGAGCGACCGAATCGCGTTTATGGATTTACCTTCTTAAGGAACGTTCAAACACAAACATTTGAACGCTAGGGATGTATAAATATGTAGAAACTAGGGATGTATAAATATGTAGAAACTAGGGATGTATAAATATGTAGAAACGTAATGGGATATATGACCAAAAAGGAACTTAAAAAGATGAGCAAAATCCAGCTACAGTCAACTTGCCTGAGGGAGTTGGAACCTTACTTTCTAGAGTAATTTCTTTATTTTAGCAGCAAGATATTTTAGTAAAAATATGTTATAAATCATGTCAGTACCGAAGCATGGACTACTTAGCTGATGATATCCTTGGGGACTAACAGTTTACCAGTAGTAGTTTCGACCCTGTGCTAGTAAATGATCTTAGTAACACTTTATAAATTTCGTCAAAAAACTGTTGAAACTTTCTTTTTACTTTAATGAGATTTTATATTTTTAGTTACAGTTCCATCATATAGAGTAAACGTATTATGATCAATCATCTGTCTTGCATTACCTACTATGCCCATTTCACCAATTGTCCATAAAACTTTTTTTTGGAAGATGACCTAGCTCTTCCTGGCAACAGTACCCGTATTGACGCTCATATTTTAGTATGTGTATGATCTTTTAAGAGGAAGTTTGATAACCTTACCTAAATATATTTAGATGTTTGGATTTCAACATTATAAATCTAATCGAAAACTAACTTACTATCCACAGGTAAAAGTAATAGAATATAAAATCATTGTAAATATAACTCCAGTTTATATTGACATGGTGTATCCTGTTGCAGGGGGATAACATGAGTGATAATATATATTCTACGACAAAAGAATCTTCGAACTATGCTAGACTGTGTCGTCTTTTGTTAGATGTAGGAACAGATGTATTTCGATACGTATTCGACAACTTTGTTCCTCCAGTAGATCTAGCAAATTTTTTGTCCAAGCATGAAGCTAAACTGAAGAAAAAACCAAATCTACGTGGATACCAAAAGAAAACACTATATCCTGACAATGGTGAACCGTTGTCTAACGATTTTGACATTTCTTTACTCTATACTTTACTTCGGGAGACGTGTAAAATGGAACCACCAATGAACGGCTGGGGAAATCCAGTAGATCCCATGGATAACAGTATGAGTGCAAACATCGAGAAAATAAGACAAATCAGAAATGATATATACGGTCACGTCCTACGTGCATGCTTGCAGGATCATATATTTGAAGAAAATTGGCTCGTGTTATCTAAAGCATTGATTTCTCTTGGCGGACAGAGGTATGAACAAATAATATATCGCTTAAGGTATGTTTCATTGGACCCCGACAAGGACGAAGACTATACGAGTAGATTTTCGGATTGGGTGTTGGAAGGTTCAAAACGACTAGATGCTGTAGAAGGTAATATATTTCATATTGTTTATAAAATTTTGTGAAATATCAATCGTATTTTTCGGTATGAAACTTAAAGTTACGTAGAAAATAGTAATCACAGTTTAAAAGATAAAAAAAGTTTTCATGATTAAATCCATCAATACATCATACTAAGCTTAACATTTTTTTTGTATCACACGTTTTAGGGATAGATATGGATAAACTTTTGTATGTTACCCGAACATTATAAGAGTAAATATACGTTTTTTTTTTCTTTTTAGAATCGGTTTCAAACATCCTGAACATTGTGACGTCTATGGCCAAGCCTGATGAGCAAGGTAGTTTTTCTGTTATATTTTTTCTTCCAGGTGGATCTAGTTCAACATGAGAGTCTATTGTGAATAAAAGTTAGGAAAGAGTATGTTTAAATGCTTTAAGTTTCGGCCAACATGGAATTTTTAGATAAAACAAACTGAAATCAAATATAATAGACCGATAATTGTCAATTATGTGCCAGTTTTGGCAGGAAATATAACCAGTGGTTTGGGACTAAGTCCAAGAAAAAGAGTTGTATATTAACCAACGGGATATTTTTTTTAAACCACTATAGCATGTATAAAGCACGTAGAAAACAAACAGAACAGAAACGATCTTATTAGGTAATTAGTCCCCTACCGATGACTTTTTTCGTCATGCTTACAGATATTGATTTAATAATTGGTATATAGTTTTATCATGACAATTACAGATCAAGTTCGAATTTTGTTCCGGTCTGATGATTTTGTGCAGAGTTATGGTCCTTGGACTTAGAAAATTCACTCAAATAACCAGTTTTCCTCACTTTTTTTCGTCAAGCTTGCTGATATTGATTTGAAAATTGGTTTATAGTTTTATCATGACAAGTTACATATCAACATTGAATTTTGTTTCGGTCTGATGATTTTGTGCAGAGTTATGGTCCTTGGACTTTGAAAATTCACTTACATAATCAGTTTTTTCCACACGTTTGACTTGTTATTTGTGATATAGTTTACACCATGATAAGTTATAAATCAAGTTAGCATTTTGATCCAGTACAATGAATTTTTAACCAGTAGGGGACTATGTATTGCCATGCAATACTCTCAGAATGCTTGTTAATAAATATTGTCACTTCATAATCAATCAACCAACAAATATGGTCGTCAGTGAATGATATCGTTTTATATTAGACATATGTATGCATGTTTGTTTGTCTGTTTGTCTGTTGTTACATTTTTGTGTACTGAAAGTGATTGTTTTTGGATATGAAAAGTGCATTCGATGAATGTAAGGCTACCGTGTGATCTATACAAGCCAATGTTATCCTGAAGTTTTGTAGATTTGTGGATGGTCAGTGTATCAGAGTACAAGGAAGTACAAGGAAGTACATGTTTCACATATCAAAGAGAGGTCACATAGTTCTGTATGACTCGAACAAGGAAGATTGTCTTTATATCGATTACATACATTATAATCATTTTTCAGTTACCGAAAAGAACTATTTCGAAAAACAGTAATTCCTCAGAAATACAAAAAAGGCAAATAAGATCAAAATTAAACAAATATGCCCTGTATATATAAGGAACAAATAATATTTGTTATGAAATATCATTTAAGCCTTTTAAAAATATATAAACAATCCGTTTTGACAACAATAAGTCCAGTGCAAGTTAATAATGGTTCCTATTGTTTGAAAATTGTTTAGTTATCTCTCTTTATCTGTTAATACATGTAAAAGACGATTTTTTCTTAGTTCTATAATGAGAATAATGGTGATCAACAAAACTTTGGAATTCGGACTTGTGTATACGCTTTATCGTGTTACTCTAAATTTATTGAAGGTAAATCAAGTATACAGGTAAAAGACCAGTGTACAAATACATCAGGTATAACACAAACAATGGAGTCAAATATGGAAATCAATAGAGAATATCATATGGCTTTTTCAATATCACATCCGTATCAACCCGAGACACCAATATAATCCCAAGAGCTCTGCTCGAGGGATTATATTGGTTGAGGGTTGATACGGTGTGTGATATTGAAAAAGCCATATCATATACACTTTATTATATACATGTACCTCACGTAGATGTTTTTTATGTGACATGACGTCATACATATAAGGGAATTTGAAATGACGTCATACATTTAGAGGTTTGACATGACGTCATACAAGTTAGGGGTTTGATAAAACCTTTGCAACAGTGACTGCAATCGATGACGGATTTAAGGTGTGATAAAGCCTTTGCAACCGTGCTGATATCGATATCATCACGGGTGGCTGATACAGCACGCTTGCCAATGACTGTATTACACATACAATTTATCTGTATTTACTACTAAGTATATAATAAATACGGTTATTGTATTATAATTCATTTTCTTCCCAATAATAAACATGATAAAGGCGTTCCTTTATAATATGTGCGTATCTATATTAAAATGAAAGAGAATGTGTCTTATATGTCATTACTACTACAGACATGAACATACAAATTAAACTGTTTATCATAAAAGATATATCTATCTTTATGGATTTATAGATGTTGAATTTGAACTATCCGTTCATAATGCCATCATTTAGTCTCCTTTTCGCTAAGTTTATACCTTAATATTTTTAGAAAAGAAACGGGTGTCATTATCGAGTAAAAAGTGCAAAAAGAGGGACGAAAGATACCGAAGGGATGTTCAAACTCATACATCGAAAACAAACTGACAATGCCATGGAAAATAACGAAAAAAGACGAAAAGACTGACAATAGTACACATAACACAACATAGAAAACTAAAGACTAAGCAACACGAATCTCATCAAAAACCGGGGGTGATATCAGGTGCCACAGAAGGGTAAGCAGATCCTGCTCCACATGTGACACCCGTCGTGTTGCTAATGTAAGTACAAACCCGGTGATAAGTCTAATTCGGTAGGTCACATTCGTTGAAAGAGGACAATTGGAATATATCCGTCGTCATCTGTGAAACAGATATTCCATAACGGTCAACCAACTTGTGATGGCGTCCGTAAAATTTTCGAAGGTATGATTTCAAACCCTTCTGTAGCACCGTGTTACAGGATTGGTGTTGCTGTTGTCTACATATCATACCTTGTTAATTGCATATCCACAAACGGCTGTTTAAATGTTAATACTTGGTCACGTAATAGGATTGGTAAATTCAAATATACCAATTGTTAATGAATTTATAAATGACCTAATGTAAGACTAAAGACATCTTCTCCTAGCTGTTATTATGTATATCGCTTTATGACACATTATAATTTAACGCTTGGGATTAAAAATAAGAAACACGCCGGTTGTTACTAGAGTAACAGAATAGCTTGAGATTGCTCTTTCGTCTAACGATTCTTTTAAATTAAAGATTTGCGGGAACCGAGATACATCAGAGCGCAGTCCATATAGAAAACATGGAAATTGCCGACTTAGACTTTTAGTCGGCATGTTTCTGTCTCAAAATATTATATAATTCATTTCTAGTAGAATCATCATGCATCATTCGATTCCTTATTCATTTTTCTCCACGAATAGATGAATCTCATTCGTGTGCTACCCTGTGTAACAAGAATTATAGTCATTTCGTACCCTAACCATTTCGTACCCCCATTTCATACCCTGGCAAAAACCATTTCGTACCCTGACCATTTCGTACCTTGACCATTTCGTACCTCATGGAATATTATCATATATACCATTTCGAACCTCATGGAATATTATCATATATACCATTTCGTACCTCATTGAAAGTCTATATGTATACCATTTCGTACCTAATGGAAGTTTATATGTATGCCATTTCGTACCTCATGAAAGATTTATATGTTTTTGATTTCTTGGTAAAAACTGTCTCATTGATGTGCGCCATTTCGTACCTTATCATTTGCTTATGGAAGATTTATATGTATACCATTTCGTACCTCATAGAAGATTTGTCTGTATACCATTTCGTTCCTCATTGAAGGTTTGTATGTATGCCATTTCGTACCTCGTGAAAGATTTATTGTGTTTCATTTCTTGGTTAAAACAGTCTCGTTGAACTTTTACTGTAAGGCGGTAGAGGTCACGAGAAATGCTTAAAATTTAAAATTAAAGCACCTATGAGATATAATATAGTAATAAAGTCAATAAACAATTTTTCTTTAAGGTAAAACTTTATATTTATGATATTTATTTCAAATATTAACTAGCGCTTTAGTAACAGTTCACATTTCTGCCATTGATTTTGTTACTTTGGTATAAACTTGTAACTAAAGACACGCGCCTTAGCATTTTATCTAATTGGATTAAAAATGTTTATTGAATACACGTGCCATTTGAAATTGCGACGTGTGCCTAAATATTGGGATATATTCCATTGATTATCGTAAGGTGTAGTTGAACCTAAATATTTACATCATATGCATGGATTTTTTTTTAAATGATACCTTTAGAAAACATGCAACACACACACACACACAAAGATATTTACCAAACGTTTTAGAAATTTAGAAGGTTAGATATAAGGATACAAAATAAATGAACTTGTAATTTCTCAAATTGAAAAAGTTTTAGCAAGTTCTTTTATTGGTCACATAAAGTGCAAATTCTTATGCAAATTTTTTTATGCATGGCTTCCTTCTTGGGTGAATATCAGCTTGTGTCCCTTTTCACTGCATTTCCTGACAAAAACAACTGTTAATATCTAAACAAACAGTTGCGATAATTATTTTTTTTTTGGTTAATCAACCTCATATTTTTAGAGTTGAAAAATTAATAAAGGATAAATCCTGCCAAAAAAAAAAAATAAATAAAATCATCTCAAAATGATTTATATCTTAAAAAATTGAAAACGTTTACAAACATATGATACGAAATAGTAAACAATTGTATTTAGTCTATGAGGATACGAAATGGTAGATGCATTTGACCCATAGGATACGAAATGGTTTTTATCGTGGGTACAAAATGGTAAATGTTGGGTACGAAATGGCAGAGGTACGAAATGGTCAAGGTACGAAGTGACTTGCTACCTGTAACACACACGAAATATTCGTGCATCCTTTAGGTTAGGGAATACAAATTTTTGTTTTGAATAATCAAGTACTACCATAGAGCCAGTCAAGGACATACTATTTTTCCTTTTCCTAGTTAAACAGTTGGGGGAAATTAGTATTAAACATCCCAAGCAAAAACGTCTTTCTATTTTCAGATCAGCTAAAACTGATCATTGAGTTCAGGGTCAAGGAGGACCGTTGTTTTGTTGAAACAGGTGCTTTTCTGGATATTGAAGACAAACTATTACGTAACGGATCTGTGTTGATCGTTGGAGATCCAGGAGAAGGAAAAACCTTCAATGCCTGGCACATTATTCTTAAATCGTTAATCAAAGGCTTCCAGTTACATATAGTAGATTCACCCCATGAATGGCAATCAAAATGGGTCCCAACTACTAAACAGATATTTTTCGTTGATGACTGCTTTGGAAAATCGCAATTAGTCCAAGAGAAAGTTGAAGTCTGGCTAAAATTGCAAGATCTGTTATGCGACTGTATCGACAAAACGCATACGTATATTATCGCAACTACTCGACGCTCAATTTATCGTGAATCGCTAGACCTAATTACAAGACTTGTGTTGTTTGGACCTTCTGTTGATATCAACGATCCATGCCGATGTCTGACTCCAAGTGAACGCGTGCAGATTTTGAAGAGTCATTTGAATAATGACATTGATATACATGTCGAGTCCTTAATATCAACGACTTCAACACCACGATTTCCGATATCCTGCCGATTGTTTGCTTCAGATCAGCAATTTCAAAATTTAGGTGCTGCATTTTTTAAAAATCCAGTTAATCAGCTTAAGGAAGAAATAGTTATTCTTTCAAAAACAAACAACATTGCTTTTTCAGGTCTTGTTTTTTTAATGCTTTTTGACGGATGTTTGGACTGTCATCTAATGCATAGTGATTACTATGAGAAGTCTAAAGCAATTTCATCATTTCTTCCATGGATGGAATACCTTTGTTGCAATAAAACAAACAATACCAGGATACATGAAGCTACCAAAAGCATTAAACAAATAAGAAAGTTACCAAAAGTAACACGAATAGAAGATTTTAGAAACGGCATTGAACATATGCTGGGAATTTATGTCGTATATGACAGCGGTCAATACAGATTCGTGCATGAGTCAATTTCTGAGACGGTTGGTGTTGTTTTGGCAGACGAAGATATTGAATTCGTTCTTAAAAATGCAACTCCGTGTTTTATCCAGCAGAGAGTTACTGTCCATTCCATATGCAAGGCTGATGGCGTCCGGAATGATGAGACTATGGTTGTAGTAAGGGAACCATACTTTCAAACTCTTGCGGAAAGATTAACGAATAATGTTCTTAATGGTCATTTGGACACTACATTTCAAAGCCAATCCTTACATAATATTGGATTCACTGCATTTTGGTGTACGTATCTTTCATCAGTAACTAGATCGAAGTATTTGAAGTTCATCAGGTGCATTGATGATAAAGGATTGTCAGTACAATATTGGGCAGCTAGAACAGGCAACGAAATTCTCCTCAAATTCTTTTTAGACGGACAAGACCCTACAAATGATGTTTTACATGGTGCATGCTACAGTGAATCTGTTGATTGCGTACAATTGGTTTTGAATCGCAAGGTTAACACAAATGCAACTGATAACAGCGGTTTTACACCTTTGTTAATCTCATGTGTTACAAAAAATAAGAATATTACTCGTTTACTTCTTTCTCACGGAGCAGATGTTAATAAAGAACATGATGACTTTGGTACTGTCTTGCATTACGCCTGTTGGAACAGAGACCTGGATTTAGTTACTATTCTCTTACAAAAGGGTGCTAAATCTAATGTTGTCACAACTGCTGGTTGGCCAAATGTTGTTTTTGATGGAGATGGAAATAATATAATGAGAATGCTAATCAAGCGAGAGAAAACTCTTCGTTTGACATCGAACACAAATTGGTCCCCATTGCATCTTGCATGCGGAAAAAATAACATTGAAATTGTTAATCTTTTAATTCAATATGGTGCCGATATAAATCAGTGTACAACTCAAGGTTGGACACCATTATTTTGCGCTACAAAGAAAGGACTTTGTTATATAGTAAATATTCTTATTCAAAAAGGAGCTTTAGTGAACATGAAAGATCACTTTGGCGTTGCATGTTTACACAGAGTATGCTACGATGGCTACCTGCATGTTGCACGTGCTCTTTTATGTGGTGAAGCAGACGTTAACATTCAGTCAAAGGCGCTTTACACTCCGCTTCACTGTGCTTGCGAGAACGGCCATGAAGAGTTAGTCCATTTATTGCTTAAATGTGGTGCTGATACAAAACTATGTAGTATGAATAACAAAACACCACTTGACGTTGCAGTGAAGAAACAGCGTTTTGATATTATAGCGGTTATTGAGAAACATGAACAAAGAAGTTGAAACTGTCGATTTAAATCAAAACAGTAATCATATCTCTGTATGGCATTTTAATATATTGAATGGAAGCCGGGTAATGCAATGTTATAAATGATATGGACTCTTGAATTCATTCATGAGGTATAACATCAATTATGTCACCACTTCAAAAACAAAGAAACAAAAATAAACAAAAACAAGCCAAAAAAAACAAATACATATTTTCTGATTGGGGTACATACATGTATATTTACTTTTTTTCCTTCTCGTTTACACATTAGATAAAGAAGAACTGCACAGCTTTAACAAATATACCTCAATTGCAAGTCCATTATCTGAATATAGGTAAATTGTTCGAATGTCTGTTCGTTATCATGAGAAGATTCAATTTTTTATCAGATGTTAAATCAGGTCACTTGAAATCGAGGTTATAAGGCAGAGCAAAGCAAAAGACGCAAGGAACATTTCTAATGATTTTATTTCACAATGGTGAATGCTATTTTCTAAAAGTCCTTCAATTTGTGCATGTTTACATTATCTATTTATTGCGCATGCTTGCACTTTATAGTTTAAGCAATGTATTGATCTATTTCCAGACAAGTGCATAAATTTGATACCAAAGTATTGCTTTCAAACTTCTATTTGCCCTCATTAAGTAAAAGATATTGGTCGTCCTGTTGGTATATTAAATCATTGAGGGAGGCTTGTTTGCACTGGTTTAAACCCACCTTATTGAGTGTGTGTATCAAATCAGGCTATCAGGATAATGTCTTGTTCGTTTTTGTTTGTCTGTGTATACCTATTGTATCAGAATCGAACATGGTTGTTGTGGTCTGTTGTACTGTCCAATAATTGTATTGGTTCCTGTTATTAGATATTCATTTTTGATAGACTATATCATATATATATACACATATCTACATTCACAGTCTACAATCTTGATATCTAGATTTTGGCATTGCACAAGGTCCGGTTTATCTCTGACTGTTAATTACGTCTTTACACTAAATCCATTGGAATATGGATGTGTACTAATTGATATTTAAGTCTTAGAAACATAATTTTTGTTGTTGTTATTTGCTTTGAACTAGCTTTTAGTAACCCTGCCACATTCTGTATGTGTCTGTCAAAATTTAAAGTCAGGAGCCTGTAACTCAGTGGTTATCGTCTGTTGCTGTTTATCATATTTGTTTTTCGTTTATTGTTTTTGTTTATTTAATCAGGCCGTTAGTTTTCACGTTAGGATTTTTTTACATTTGTCATTTCAGAGCCATGTTGATAGTTAGATTCCAATGCGGTATGGGGTTTGGTTATTGTTGAAGGCCGTACGGTTACATAGTTGCTAACCTTTTACGTCATTTGGTCTCTGGTGGAGAGTTGTCTCATTGGCAATCATATCACGTCTTCTTATTTTTTTATGTTAAATTGTGAGGATTTATAAAAGAATAAACACAAAGCAATTACCAATATTTTATCTATTTTGTTACCTTTTATGTCTGTTTGTTTTGCTCACACATTGTTGTCAATATTATGGAATTTTATGCAACTGTCATACAAGTGATAGGTTTAACTGGCTATAAAACCAGGTTTAATCCACCATTTTCTACATAAGGAAATGTCTGTACCAAGTCAGGAATATGACTGTTTGATATGTTTGAGCTTTTGATTTTGCCCTTTGTTAAGGGACTTTCCGTTTTGAATTTTCCTTGAAGTTCGTTATTTAAGTTATTTTACTTTTTACCGGGGTAAATGATAATATTAACACTAAAGATGGTGCGTTTGAAGCACTTTTCTGGAACGCTTAAACACAAAGCACTACAAGTTAAAACCTTTCCAAAAAGGTGCATGTGTGGAGCGCTTCGCAGTATCACAAATCAACGTCAACGTGTTTGCTTTTCAGAAGTACTTATTGTTATTTTTATTTTCGGATACTTTTTTTTCGAATTCAGTTTCATGATTATTATTAATATAATACAAAATGCGACCTGACAGGGAAACAGTGTCACATATAAGGGACTGTGAAAAGGAAATGTAACATAAAATAGTTAATTTAAGAAATCATTGATTACACGAATGAGGTTATACTCGGATCTCCTTGATTAGAATATTTTTACTCTCTAAGGAATTGAATTAGTTCTGTTAGGAACAAGTAAGTTGATACTCTCAACTTTGTCGTCACCTAAAATATACAGCGAGAGTAACCCATCAATTGATGCTTTAAATTTACAGTATACAAAACACAACATAGAAAACTAGAGACTGTGATCTCATGTGCCTCGGAAGGGTTAGCAGATCCTGCTCCACATGTGGCACCCGTAGTATTGCTTATTGAAGTACAACCCGGTTATAAGTTTAATTCGATAGGTCACAATATCGAAGAAAAGAGGATGGGATTGAGGTAACAACAACTGGAACATATCCGTCTTCATCTGTGAATCAGATATTCAATAACGGTCAACCAACTCGTAGTGGCGTCCGTAAATTTTCCAAGGGAATATATCAACTTCTCCACTTGGAACTCTTGGTATTATAGCTGTCTTGTGAGTAGTAACCCTCCAGCAAGGCAATCATGATAGGAAATGCAAGCTCTTGAATATCGTTTCAACTTGAAGATATAAACTTCATATACAGGCGCTGCTTGAATGCTGCTACATAGAAATGGAAAGTTCACAATTGGGAAGCTGAAATCATCTCTTTTGTCGCAAGGTAGTGCCCTCAACCGACCCTCAGTTTTTAGATGTAAGCCAATATGTACGAGGCAGACTAAACTATCGTATCTTTTTATTTCAAGTTCAATGTGATAGATGCGTTCAACATAGTCACGAAACTTTGAATTATTTAGTGGGAGGAGAGGACATCAACTATATAGCGGAAAGTGAAGTTACAGGATAATCCTAGCTTTTTTCATTCTTCACAAGAAGCTCCTGTATGAAATCAGCTTTATATGGTCTGATTGTGCTTACTTGGCTTAGACTTATTCATCGTGGTTTTCATAACTTAGCTAAACAGCGATATGGAACGGATCTGCGATATAAAATTCTAGCCTAATTAAAACCTGAAATTTCACAGGCACTGAATAGTTTACTGGATGAAACTCATTCGGTCGCCGACGCTAAAGTTTTACGTGCATCCTTAAAGGACAAGCCTTACGGAAGTGCAAAGAAATCAGGTAATATCAGAAAACCAACCACTTCGCTTAACAAGCAGACGGCGTTACTCCATTAGAAATAGTGGTGAATGCCATTTCACACTTTCGAGGGACGGACTAGTTCTAGAGCTCGAGGCACTAGTAGTTGACGACTTAGTTGTAGACATACTCAACGGTATCCCTTTCATGTCGTCGAATAACATCGCGATCTTTCTTATAGCAAACATAAAATCGTTATACGCGTTCAGATTTAATGTCAACTATGCTATGGTGGCTAAACGCAGGAGCACAGATCTTGCCAAAAAACACGTAGGTAGAACTCAGGTTTTTTTTTCTCCGGGCTCCTTCTGCTAGTTGAGTAGTTAAGGCTGTCTATCCGAAATAGAACCGGATAGAGTACTCGCGATCGAGCCTCACGTCGACCCTTCTCATTCAAAAGATTGGCCTAGTCCACAATTTGCACAGTCTGTCGCCGGAAAAATACGCCTTTCGAGTAACTCATCGGAGCCACATTTCATACAACAAAATGAACATCTCTGTCAAGTGCGGTTCACTACAACCATCGACGAGTCCTCTGAGGCTCTTAATATATACGATCGTGAAATCCGCGAAAATACGTACATAGACCAAACGCATACCTCCAACTTTATTTCCCAATCAAGTCTCTGCAGACCCCGATAATTTACTTAGTCAAGGTATTCAAATTCAGTTTAAAGACATTTTGCAGAAGTTCAGTACAGTGAGGTTGAAATTTGATGAATTGGAATGTAAGTGGTTTTTCCTTCGACCAGAGGACATAGGCATGTCAGTCGAATACATTAACCCATCCTTTCTTGTCAAATAAACATCCGGTGGTTTCGACTTGTAACAGCGTAAGCCGATGTTGGCCGTTATAGTAAGCAACAACCTTCTCTCATGCCCGACGTTGACTCGACCCTCTGCAATATGGAAATATATAATAAAGTCTGACCTTACTCAAATATAAACATGCGATACCATTGCTTCCCCTGTGATATATATTGGAACTTCTAAAGATAGTTCTTGAAAATAATGAATTTATGTTCAATGATAAATTTTACAAAACTTCAACTGGAGCTCCAATCGGAAATAGTATATCACCTGAAATTACCGATCTGAGAGTTTATGAAGTCTTAAATAGTATTTTATAAACTTTCCAACATAGACAGAAAATATTGAGCCTCTGTAGGTTTAGGGACGATGGCTTTTTTAATTTACAATGAAGGTACAGATGATGAAATATCACAGTTTTTCAAGCTAACAGATACCATACACTACTAAAATTTACATACGAGAAATCACAAACTAAAATGCAGTTTTTAGATGTATTGTATTCAAAGGCCCACGATTTAGATAAAAAACGATTCTTAGACCTCACGACATTCCACAAAAAAACTGAAAATTATCAGTACTTAGAGAGGTCCTCATGCCATCTATCCTCTACTTTCAAAGGCATAATTAAAGGAGAAATGCTTCGCTTTAAGAGATGTTCGATCAATCCTGTAGATTTGCAAACACAATATGCGTTATTTTCTGAACGACTTATTAAAAGGGGATATAAAGAAAATGAAATTAAAACTGTTATGCAGGAGGTGACAAAACAAAGAAATGACACATTAATGGTTAAACCCAAATCTGTATTACAGTGGCCTCCCTTGATATTCTCCACAGTGTTTTTAAGACAGAAAACATACTTTAAGAACAATATTTTTAAAACACTGGGATAAATTAAAAGATGACGAAGAGGCAAATCTTATTTGATAAAAGACTTATTTTTGCTTTCCGTAGGCATAAAAACTTGACAGACACAGCAACATATGCAACTCTTTAATTAACATATTGCAATTAAATTATGAAAATATATTCTATACTATGTTTGTTAAATTGATAAACATGGATAGAAAAGAAATATTATAGAAAATTATTAGTCAAACAGATCACGAGGTGTCGAGCCCCTTTTAAAAAAAATACAGTATTTTAAGATTAAGTGTCACAATGCAATGACTTAGGCTCAGGACGATGGACATGGCCATGGTCAATTAGTTTATTCTAATTGGTCTAAATAGATGTTCGAAACACCTTGTGATCTATGGAGTTGGGGTGCTGGGATAAGATTTGACAACGATTAATTGAAATAAAAAAAATAACATTTATACACTTATATGCATGATATATTTTTTTTATGAAATATATCACTCAAGGATATCTTATATTACTTTTCGATAAAGACTGGATATGTGATTGAGTCAACCCCAAAAAGATATCATGCCGTACAATACTATTTGTATATAAAAGAAAGAAAAATTTATTTTCTCAACTTTAACATGTTAGACCGGGTTAACAATCCTTTCTGCACATCATCATGTAGTGTTATACAACTCTGCAAATATCTGCCTAGCCGTTTAGGGTCAAGTTGCGCTTACAATGCACACCGGTAGATAAGCCGACGGACAGACAGATTTATTCGTGTATATGTTAGCGGTCCGTCTATCCTTCCGTTCTTCCGTCCGTCTGTCCCACTTTCGTTTCCACACTCTAACTTAAGTTTGCCTCATGCAAATTTTATGAAATTCAAACACAATGCTAAGAACTAAAACTCGCAGACAGTTCTACTGTTCTAGAGTTATGCCCCTTTTTAACGTTGAAAATGCAAAGCTTAAGTGGGGGCATTCGTGACCTCTAACACATTCTTCTTTTATTTTGTTAATGTGACTTTTTTTTCAAATTTATATTTAAAACGCGTTTTTAAAAAACGACACTTTAAAAGTTTTGTTTTTCAGATAACGATTTTCGTGGAACTTTAACCTTTTAAACATAAAAAACAGAATTTCAGTAAACTGATTTTTCTTCTGTTCCATTCATATTTTACAAATATAATATAAACAAAATGCATTTTTTTTTTATTTTCAGTCATTTTAAACTTACAATGCAGATTCATTGGTGTGGTTTTCAATGATCTTTGACATTTAATTTGAGCTCCCAATTGTTTGATTAAAGCACCATAGACGAACTCCACTGTTTACCAGTGATATACTAGACGAATGACAAATTAAGGATCTTTCCATTTTGAATAAAGTTGTATTGTGTGAATTATGTAATACATAATGCCAGCTGAAGGACGCCTCCGGGTGCGGGAAATTCTCGCTGCATTGAAGACCTGTTGGTGACCTTCTCATGTTGTCTGTTCTATGGTCGGGTTGTTGTCTCTTTGACACATTCCCCATTTCCATTCTCAATTTTATTTTATAGACAACTTAGTGGCCGAGTTGTCTAAGTAGTTCAACTACTGTATCACTAGTCTTTAACACCGAGGTTGTGAGTTCGAACCCCGCACGTGACAGGTTCGCTCGACTCCAATATTTAATTATATAATTGATAATGATTGTCAGGTTTCCTGCCAAAAGTCGATGGTTCTCTCCGGGCACTCCGGCTTTCTCCATCAATAAAAACTGACCGCCACATAGTGCTGAAAGTGGCGTTAAACACCAATCAATCATAGAATACTCTGGTATATTGCTATTTTTTTTCTATCTAGCATTTATATTCTCACTTTCAAAAATGTCGGTGGTCAACAGTGATCACTAGCCTGCTTGTGGGAAGTTGTGTTAAGACTCCGATCTTAATTGACTAGGGTTGACAGTTTTCCTGTCGAAGGTCGATGATACTCTCCGTACACTCTGGCTTCCCTGCCTTAGTCGTATTTGGCACAAATTTTCAGAATTTTGGTTTTTGATGCACTTCAACTTCAACCTATGTAATTTGGCATTCCAAATGTATTGATTCGAGCACCACTGCTAAGTTTCATGACTACTTATCGCGCACCTGGCGTTTAAAATGAAAAAAACTATGTGAATTAAGTTTTTTATCCTACATTGAACTTTTGATGTCGTCCCTAAATTTATATAACAACATTAAAAGGTAGTTTATTAGGAGACTTGTGTTTTAACTAGAGATATTTGTGCCCTGCTTATCATCCGTCGTAAAGTGTGTAATAATGTAATACATTTCGATGTTTTTTTTTATTCTTATAGCACATAGAAGGATAGTCTGTAAGTTAGAAATATTAACAAATATAAGACAGTAAATCCTGTACCATTTGATGTATTAAATCATTCGAAGGATGTATAGCTTTACTTTCGGAAGCAACTGTCATATCCCATTCGTTTAAATACACAACCTTATGTTTAATATTATCGAAAATCTTGAATATAATTTTATCCTGCAAATATCTGACAAAATCATATGGAACACCGTTATTATATTCTAAGCTATGTGGGCCTTTAATGAATATTTTTGCGCCAGGCACACGATCCAAGAATTCAACTATAGAATCTTTAGCGTTCATTACATGTTCTTCATAAACTGACAATGGAACAAGACCTATATGTAGATACCAATGCAGTACTACGATCGGATTTTTAGAACTTATTACGTTGAGGTGATATCTTGCAGGCTTAAACTGATGTATTGTCGCATTAGGTTTATAAGTGAAAAATGGGAACTCGTGCGGAGCCCACGTAACAGTAATATTGTCTCTCTTATTTTTACTACAAGCTTTGATTAAATGATGATAGCCTCGTAGAGCAGCTGATGTCCGTTTAACCGAGAGTGCAAGATTCAAAATCTCAGCCATTGAACTAAGCCATTGTCGCACTGTAGAATCTCCAACCATGTAAATCTCCCTGTTTCTAAGACAGGATAAATACCTATTATAACTTGGTTCAACTGTGTTTTGGCATAAGAGATTATGCCATGTTTTATTATAAACATATCCAACTGGGGACGAAATGTTAAATGTGACTGAAGGATTTATTTGTCTACAGGAGTACTCTGGGTGGTCTATGGTTTTATCTGCAATAAAAAAATCTTTATCTTTTCAAAAAGCTGAAAAAGATAAATACCCAGAAATAGACACCAATGACAAACGGTAAACACCACGAAACATTGAAATGTAGAAACAGAGTAAATACATTTCAGAATCACAAATCTTAACGGGAATGACAATACCACACATAATCTTACGTACACTTACAAATAATATGGTACCAAAACAAACATAAACAACTTGTCTTTTTCCTTTTTTTTTGTTTTGACCAGAAATCCTTTTACTCTCTGATAAAGACTATCGTGTTTAAAGAGAAGAATATTTAAATACCTAAAAAAGAAACGATTAAAGTGGTAATTACAAAACCCTTAATACAAACGGACGATTTGAATTGTCATTAAAGTTTACTATTACACACAACTTAAGTCTCCCTAAAAGACTAAATGCATTAATAATTATATAAATGGTATGATCATGATCAATTGGTTTTGAAAGGATCGTACATTTAATTGAATTTTAGTATGTGAACATTCTATTCAAGGCTCCACGAACTCTTTTGTGTATGGTAATCGTTTTTTGCCATTCTGTCCGTCCATGTGTACAAAACAAATAGTTTCTGATTAATGATAACTTGACCATCCCTTATTCGATTGTATTGAGACTTATACAGATGAAAGATGTATGGAAGGAAAAGAATCAATTGATTTTGGGTCAATTGATCAAAGGACAAGATCACTGAGAAACTGGAAAAATGGTTTCGGGCTGTTAACCTGAGTTTCATTTGATTGATTGGAATGAAACTTATACAGATGGAACATATAGTAAAGGGAAACATTCTATGGATTGGCAAGGTCGAAGTTCATGGTCACTGTTTCAAAAAACATTTTTCGAGGGAAAGTAGTTCTGAAATGGTTATTTGAGTTGTCCTTTAAAATAGAACTGATACAGATGGAAGATATAGGGAAGGAGAAGATTCCTATTGATTTTGGGGTCAACAGGTCAAAGGTCCCTCTTGCTAAAATCACATCTTTTTTAAAAGTCCCAGTTGGTGGTTGATTCAAATATTGGCAGCCATATTGGTCAATTTACCGGCATATCTGACATGATTTTCACACCGAAGTGTTGATGGCAAAATTTATACATTTAATACAGATTAAAAAAGCTTCAGATGATAAGATTGGTGAAAATGCTGAAAAGTATTTCCTTTAAGTTTAATAAGTAAATAAACAATATTTTGTCTTGGTGTATGTGCAGGTAACAGAGTCGTTAATTTCTCACAAAGATACCATTTTATCAAACACGTATTCAGTTTTAGTCAGCTATTAGTTTTACCATATTTACTTCTGAAAATAAAGCCTCATTTATAATTATGTGAGTATGCCTTATTAATTCCCTGGCAGGGGATGGATCTATAAGATAAGGGGCTCTGTCCACCATGAAAGTCGGTAGCTTATGTTTTTTGCACTCTTCTGAAATTTATTTTACTGCCGATGAACTTCTTTCCTCTTATATTTTAATAGACCCAATACGCATCCCTTTTTGAAAATTTTGACAGCCTGTTGTACGATCTTCCGATTTTTTATGTTCACAAAATATCTTATCTTGTACGACTTTGCCCCCAACAGAGCTATAGAAAAACAGTACATTAACGGATGTTACACGGTCACTTTTAAGATGATACACGGACACTTTTTAGTTGTTACACGGACACTTTTTATGAATAGAATCACTCGTGCATGATCAGTGAGTTCATGGGCACTTTAAATTTCAATTAGATTTGAACTTTTTGTTTCACCGACATATTTCCTGTCTTTTTAATTAAAATATTTACGTTAGCATCAATAACTTTATTTTTTTCCAAACAATTCCAGTAACTATTCATATTAGTACACTAAGGGATTGACCATTTAACTTCAAAAGGTGGGTTATGGTTTTTTCCTAAAAAAACATTTTGATCCCCAAATTTATGAGAAAAAATATATAATATATTATATAGTTGAAAAACTAAATAATTTTCTTACTCAGAAAAGAACACACCCCTTTTGAAGCTAAATGGTCGGTCCGTAAATGTGTTTTTTTTCAATATATGGACATGAATAGTATTCTGGACAATGCTGAAAGAAATGCTGGTACCAACGTTTATATTTCAATAAAAAAGACAGGAAATATATATAAAAGAAATCAAATCTAATCAAAAGATAAAATCCCTATCAACTCACCAATGCACGATTGATCCTATAAATAAAAAGTGTCCGTGTAATACATGTTCAAAAAGGCAGCAAATCTTGAAGAAAATCATTCAACTTATGTCATCAATTTTGGACGGTAAGCTCTGATCATATAAGGACACGTGTTTAATCCTGATCAACACTATCAGAGACATATGAAAACCTATAAGCATGAACATTTTTTAAAATCCAAAATATATGCCTATATATATATCTAATAACAAGACAAAATCCATTTATTCATAACATTTCATTCACTAATGAGATAGGAAATTCATTCTTTTGATACACTTATATAGTTATTGAATTCATATATATTGCATTCATATATTTGGCGGCAAACGTACGATTTTTACGAATTTTTAAGGGGGAATTTATCTTACCTCCCCCTTTTCCCCCAATAAAAATCAAATGGTAGCTTGCTTACCTCTGAAATCTTATTTTTATACATTACTTACTTGCGAAGTTGCATTTCAAAAAGTCTCAAATGTGTATAACATTCACCTTTAATTTGAAATGGTTCTTTTTATAAAGTTGTTAGATTCTTGAATTTTTTGAGAAAAAAACTCTCGGCTGAAGGGAAGTGAGAAAAAAAAATTGAGTTTAAACTGTAACTTACATTAACTGGTATATGGCCATTTAAGTTTCTAATATCTTTAGTTTTGCTACCTCTTCTAAATGTAAAATGTACTTCTTCCTTCTTGAAACGTCGTACAAAACAGATACAAAACAAAGGTAACAAAAAACAGGCCTGAAACAACCTGCCGTATAGTTTGTCTGCACTTGTAGTCAGATCAAGGTCCTCGGCTATCGCCTCGGAACTTGACCTGACTACTCGTGCAGAAAAACTATCCGGCAACGGTTGTTACCAGCCTGTTTCTTTGTTACCTTTGTATTGTATCTAATACTAGGCATAACGGTCCCGTACTCACATGATATTTATTCATTCGTACCAGGTCGTGTTAACAAAGAACAAGGATGAACTGTACTAACCTGACACCTGATTGACTGATAAATGTTTGATACGGATTTCAGAGCGCATACCTGATACAATTCATGAATTATACCATGAATAGTTACGACCAAAGAGATGATTTCAGCTTTGTAATTGCGAACTCTCCATGTTTACTATGGTCTTATCGGTTTGTATCCGACTTACGAATTGTGATCGTCACTTTAGTATCTTCTTTTTTCCACCAGGTATGCTCGAGACAATAAAAGATTGGGGAGTCAAATAGACAAAAAGAAATTGAAGAAAGGGGCATAAAAACTAAACAATACAGCTATGACAATCTTACACAAACATCTTAAAGCAGTTGTATCTTAAAACTTACTTAAATAATTAATGATCAATTCATTTTTGTAATAAATGATCATTCAAATAATGCCAACATCGAGTACTGGTTTGAGTCAGTTTTGAGAAACCCATTTCTGTGCATAAGATAGTACATATTACTTTAATAACTTACCACCATGTACTTCAACTTTAATTTCCTATTATTTTATTACTGTTAGAACTGCAAGTATAAAAAAAACATTTTTGATTTTATGTTTGAAAAAGACCATATAAAAATGTATATGTCAAACCGTCACCAAGTGCAAATCACAAAAGGCTTCACGTAAATGAATATATCTTTTCAATCAAATCACACACATAATGCATCTCTAAAATATCTTTAATATTAAGGAAACAAGAAATGCCTGGCTAAAAATGAAAGAGATCAAGTTTAGATTGTATAGATTGTTTTAGCATTTGCATAACTCATATTAGATGCACAAAGTTTTTTCCTGTTAATTTGCAGATCCATTCTTTATGTCCTTTTGAATGTCAAATTCTCCTCACAATGGAATTTTCTGATATTCGGCACCTTGATCGGACGTCACAAATATTAAAATCGTATTTGTGAGACAATAAAATAGTTAAGACTAATTTGAACTAATAAATCAACCAAGCTTTTGAGACTAAAATATCAATCATAAATCATGCAACGTATTTAGTGTAAAAACGTCATAACCAGTTTGAGAAAAGCATGATTATGCAATGCCACAATTTAAGCATCGACAGGGTATAGGACCATACGTTTTCTTGTCAGTATAGAAATACATTATTCAGTTATGCAAAATCCAGGTTAGTAGCGATGAACCATGCAAATTAATGTGATAATTAGTTTCTAAATATACGTTCTCTATAAACAACATAACTGTAAAATTAATGTGTGAATTTCCTTTTGTTATAATCATTCTTCATGTACAGCCAAATTTCAAAACCAACTCTTTGTATCATTGAAAATCTTTATCGAAGATATAACGTAATTTGTGATTAAGAAATCCCCTACTTATTAATTTACCAATTAAACATAGTTTACGTTCATGATACTCTAAATGTATGGTTGTTTTATATGAGAAACTATCGGCACAAGCAATACAAAGAAAATAGAAGCAATGTGAGATACTTTTAGAAACAAGTTAGAGGTAATAAAAGTTGTTTTTATGATAGTTGGCTAGCTGTCTCCTTGACTCTTCAAATACATAGAATATCTTCACGAAGGTCTTACGTAAATTCTAACGATAATTATCTAAACCTTTACTAGTAAGTTCATTTAAACTGAAATTGAGTTTTTTTATCAACAAGCAGCCATCGCTGCTAAAAAAATACAATAGTTCTGTGTAATGAAACGAAGATCAACCATGTAACGAAAATATTTCCTCAAATGCTGAAAATTCATTTAATATAAAAATGTATTACCTTATGAAGTGCTTCTGTGTCTTTGTAAATGTCGATACTGTCATATCTCCAATTACGGCATACCAGTCTGAACATTTGAACCCGGGTGCATCTGGTAATGAACAAAACCATCGCATTCCATAATTTAATGATGTAAAGTCACAGATGCCATGTTTTGTCAGTGTGTGAATTCCACATAAACCTTTACCAGTTTCTCCACGTGCATTCTTAAAAACTCCTTTTAAAGTCCGCAACATTCCATTCCTATATATGTAGTTTACAAATAGTCCAATAGATTCTTTTGGAAATGACAAAGAAATTTTGATGTGCGGAGATCCGCTCCATAATGCCTTTATCACTCCAATATATGTACCATTGCCATAATCCGCGACATATCCCACTGAACCTGCGCCTTTCTCATTCATCCAAATTTTTATAAAATCGCTACCATCAGTTAAAACGTCACCCCTTTCATTATGGAGGATTATTTTAAGGGCTATAATATCACCAGTAATAAACGTAACTGATTTATTGTTTATTATTTCCACTGTAGATTTTGGCAAATAAACAAGAGATTTACCGAAATCTAGGTTTTTATACTTCATGTATCTTTTATAATACTTGAAGTCAGTGGCTGTAAACGTTTCAGTTTCATATTTGTATCCAAAACACAAAATCTGACATCTGCAATAATCAACCAATATATAAAGAGAGTCTATCTTCTAGTCCTAGGGTAAATATATTGTACACGTTATATTATGTTAACGTTTAAGGTACCTTCAGATTCTAATTACCATTAGATTTACTAAGATCTAAAATAAATTATAATTAAAGTCACATGCGAGGCTAAATCAGAAAAATAAGGAGAAGCTAATGAGTCAACAACTTCAAAAGCATTCAGCACACATCGGCAGATTCAACAAGCTAATGTTAATGTAAGGTAACGGGATCTGCCGAGGTCTGACGATTGATTCAAACGTGAAGGAGAGGTAAGACAAAAATTTGAGTTTCAAAATAAATACGTGTTACTCTCTCTCTCTCTCTCTCTCTCTACAATTCAACCTCTTAGATGTACACCGATTCACGTATTAATTTTTTTATGAGTTATCAACTTTTCATTTGTTTTATAAGTCCTTTATATATTGATCTAAGATATCCGACAAACATTAAAGATTACAGTCTTAATCAGAAACATTCTTGTCTTTTGTTAATAAGTTAATATCACAATATCTCATAAACGGAATTTGTTCACCGATCAAAATAAAAATTACTTCTGTCTATAATTGCAGTGCCTGTTCCTCTGTTGAATGGAATAAAATAAGGATCATAACGATATTATTTATCTAAAGTTTGTAGCAATAGGTATTCCCGCCGGCAGTAAATGCATGATAAAGAGGGACGTCTTGGCTATTCCGGATGCATAAATACGCAGCCATGTCCGATCGGAAAATAAATATTTAATCCGTTGGCTTACGTAGAAAAGTGCCACGCTCTCTTAATTCTAAGGATGCGACAAAAACTTGTTGAGGAATCTTTAGGTGCACTGTAACATGCAAAATTTTGTCCCTATCCAACAAACTCCTTTCTACCCGTGGCTGTCGACATCATCCTGCCCCCAACTTCATCGGACTTTGCGAAACCTACCTACTGCATTTACTATTACTTTGTGTTCGTCCTCAATATGCATGAAATATTTGATTAATAAACATGTGTGAATAACCGTACCAGTATGGTGTGAATTATGATCAGTAAAAATTTTCCGGGAAAAGCCTTCAAATTTTACAGTAAAATCACGTTTTGAGAAACATGCGCGACAAAAAATACTGAGCATATAGTAAAAATACATTTTTGAATTTCATTAACATGATCTGATGTGAGACGATATGAAAATGAAAATAACAGTTTCGATCCCCAAATATGTTGAGCGTGCAGATATAACTTTAAAACAAAGATGCAAATTGTGGTTAAACTTTACATACACATTTGCATTCAAAGACTAAATGGTTTATTATTGCTGCAAATGGATTTTTTTATGCTCGATAAAAACAACAATACGAAGCGTACAGATAGGCTAACATCCTGTATTGGTTTTAAGAATGCAATTTGATTCATAGTAAAGAGTAAGAAATACTTCTTTCTTTTTAAAATATTGACAAAAATAATGCCTACACATGTTAAAATGAGCATAGAGCATTGCATGATAGAATCATTTCGATTTTAAACGGAAAATTTAAAACTTTTGTACTTTGAAGCAGACATTTGATAAACGTTTGAAAGGCAGCCATTTTGATTTAATTAATAAAGCAAAAACGTTATAGAAAATCAGCCGTTTTACGATGAAAAATGAACAGATACATGTAAACTCACTTTAAGAATGTTTTTTCTATTTTCTGGCGAGCAGCACTAACACAAATGTCCATTTTGATTTCCGGTGTTGTTCAAAATACAACTGATAAATTGCCACAATTTCAATTTTGACGTCTGTCACCAATTATTCTCTATTCTTTATATCTTAGCACCCCAATATTCTCTATTCTTAATTTTTTTGGGGCCTATTCTTATCTATTCTTTATATTATTTGCCCTTTATTCTGCACTTTTTGCCCATTATTCTCTTTTCTGTTAACCCCATCGAGACCCTCTAGACTTGATAACAAATTATATTTCGGAACTACAAAATTATACGAAATGAATCAATACCTATAGATCTACAATTTAAACTTTTTGATTCTATGACAAAGCCAATCTTTCTGTATGGTGCTGAAGTTTGGGGCTTTGAAAAATTGAAAATTGAAAAGACTGACTTGAAATCTTGCAAAAGGGCACTGAAAGAAACACTACGCCTTATTTATGGTTGATGGAGAATCGGGTAGATTTTCCTTTCTCTTGAGATAAAGGTGAAATGGTTTTATATTGGTGTAAAATTGTTAATAATCAATCAAAGGTTTGCAGTTTATTGTATAAATTGGTGCTTGGCTTAAAGCCTAAAAATAAATACGCCTTTAAATGGATTAATTTTATGGAAGCGGCATTAACAGTACTGGCATTGGATATAATTATGTTTTGTCAATCAAAGAGCTACTGTGATGAAATTTACTTAAATCAGTTTGTACAACAGTGGTCTACAGTGATATTAAAAATTTCGATCACGAGGACAATTTTATTCGATATTTCAAAAAAAAAAAGTTTTACGTTAGAAAAATACCTTCTAAAACCTCCTGAATATTGCAGTCTTTGGATCACATAATTTAGGTGAACCAGGAAGATAGCAAAATATTCCGAGGAATGATAGACTATTCACTTTGTGTAGAAGTTATATTGGTGATGAATTTCATTTGTTATTTAAATGTACTAATCAAAATATTGTTAATTTAAGGAACAAGTTATGGTACAATGTATACCGTTGTCCGTCCGTCATCAACATGTCGGACAACAACTCAAAATCGCTTTAACCAATTTTCATGAAACTTTGGTGAATTGTTAATATCTATTGATGTAAGCTCCCTTTCGGTTTTTATAAATTTTAGATTTTATGTTTCTGAGTTATGGGATTTTATTCATTTAAAATGGTTGATTTTTCAGTTTTCTGACTATAACTCAAAATGCTTTGAACAATTCTCATGAAACTTTGATGAATTGTTTATATATATTGACATAACTTCCCATTCGATTTTTAAAAATTTCTGATTTTACATTTTGGAGTATTGGGACTTTATTCATAAAAATGGGAGATATTCCAGTTTTCGGACAATAACTCAAAAGTGCTTAGAGTAGTTTTCATGAAACTTTGGTGACTGGTTTATATCTATTAAAATAAGCTCCCTTTAGGTTTTTTTATATAAATTTCTTATATGACATTGAAGGATTATGGAACTTTATTCGGTAATAAAGCGACGGGCGTATCACGCGCTCATGGCGCAGCTCTTTATCAAAATTATCCATTGGTATCATTATTTTGCCTGATGTTTTTTAATCTTCGTCACCGAACACTCACAGATAATTCCGCCTGCTTGAAAGTTGCCTTTTCAATATGTTATGTACCAGTACTTCGATATTGGAATGATTCGAATGCTCATATGTTTGAATTCGTTGTAAAGTTTCAGTCCTAAATATGTAGTTTAAAGTTGAATTTGGTTGTTAATTGTACGCTCCCAAAAATTTATATCTTTTTTTTCTATCTTTTGAACATGAGAGTATTTGTTGATTGTTATTTAAAAAAAAAACGTGTTGTATGATATTCTTTCCTGCAATTATTAGATATTACTGTTATAAGCTTCACATTTCTTCTGAAAAAAAACCACACATGATTTATAAGTTTTAGTTTTTCTAATTCTTGGCAGATTTAGACTTTCCATGAACGTTTGATCATATGGTTCGTTTAGTATCAGTTCATATAAGACAAAATGCATTATTTAAAATGGTTTTGCTTTCCTCTAATATCAATTTTGTGACTTCATATAAAAAGCCGACCTATCCTGAAGGCGTCAGATAGTAAAACACAATCTGTTTAATATATATTATTGAAAAAGAAAGACAAAGTTTGCTTAAATATGTCAATGATATTTACATCATCAGGGAAACATATTCCACCACCGCATATAGATCGTGCGATACGACTTTCTCCACTCTTGACAGATAAATATAATCATTCAAAACGCTCGGCAAGCCTCGCACACTAATTTGAAATTAGAATTGTCGCGAGAGGAGACATATCGTACTCGATGCATTGGTATAATCTATATTTAAACATTATAATTATCATTAAGTTTAGTTCATATCAATAAAAAAACAACAAACATGTCTGTGTGGTTAATTTTCGATTGGTTGTTTTTCTTTTCATTTTCGTTGAGTAATTAAACATAATTTCATGAATAACATATCAAATTTAAGAAAAATCTTGAATAATGTATGAAAACATCATTTGCCTTTTATTTTAACATTATTCACATAAATACAAATATCCAAGGATGTGTCATTGACTACTTTGTAAACATTGAAACAGAAGGTTTATAGACCACAGGGAAAGGGTCATGTCTATTTATACATTTTCACTTCAAACAATAGCAAAACAGTTCTTCTGTCTAGAAAGAATGTGTGACTATCATTTTTTGTATAAATTATTCTACGTGTAATACTAGAATTTGGTGAAGATCTGCATTGTCATAGCTATTTTTGACTAGTAAACAATTTTTGAAAAAAAACGAAAGATTTTCGTTTACCTGTAATATGATTTTAATGATATTTCTTCTAATAAGTATGTATTTATCTAGGGGAAAGGGGGTCATAACCTCGTACACTATAATAGACCATTTACACACTACCGACATTTTGACTCCGGATTATATAATGTTCCGACTGGTTACCTACTCTGTGGTAGGACATCTTGGTACTCAGCCTAGTAAGAACATCCATCTGTTCCATCGACC